AACGTCTTTGGGTTCATAAACTACATTGTTTATTTACAGACACTTGTTAGTTTTCTGACGCCTTATTTAAAAATAAATTACACAGTCTGATCAAGTCCAGCTTGAAAAGCAAGAATTATATAAAGAACTTTATCACATTCCCACGGTAGATATTAAACATTTAGAGCGCCATAACTCGAACACTTCGCCAAGTCTTTTTTTATCACAAGTTTATATAGCTTTTATATGGTGATACAGCCTTAACATTTAGAAATTTTAGTCTATTTCAAAATATAATTTATATATTCCACATGTATTCCATTTTCATATGATCTATCTATAAGCATATCATACATAATCAGAATATTAATACACACTGAAATTAGCCATAATTATTTATGAAAAGCCCATCCTTACTTTTTAAATATGCAAGTCATTGCATCAAATGATAAGTTTGAATTGAAACATTTCTCATTAAATCAATTACATTGAAGGAATCTATCACATTATTTTAAAAAATGCGCACATGTATCCAATTATAAAATTAATTGTTGCTAATTGCTAATTATCGCTGGTAGCAAAGTGAGTTTTTATTACTTCCGCCGTACATCTTCGGGTTTTTATGAAGTTGTGTAATTGACGACTTAATAAAAGTACACCATCTATCAAACACTTGAAATCTTTATCTTGACATTGAAGTGAACTCCTTAAATAATGTTACAACTTCAATATAATTATTTTAAATAATTAATGTTTATTAAAAAAGAATGATGGATCCAGATTGTCTTTCTCTTTCACTTTACCAATAATTTACCACAATTATCTACGTTTTTGTAAAGTAATACATACTGAGCATAAATCGTTTAATTTATAACAAATATTTCATAGTGATTTCCCTGCGAATTCAGCATGTAAAAAGTGCATTCAACAAAGTTTGGGCATTTCATGATATCAGTCTTATATCTTCGAATTCAAAAGAAAGTAGGTATGGATATAGCGATAAATAGTCTCCTTGCTGACAGCCCCGTTATACATAAATGGCTGCAGATTAGCTTCAATTTTCATCAGTCAATAGGGAAATTATTTATGTAAAAAGGCTTTATTCACATGGGTTACAAACTTCTTAATCCAAAAATGAAGTTGATTTATGAGTGACCAAGGCTACAATAAAATCATTTTCGTATGTATATAGTTAATAAAATTCAATATTATATAAATCATTTACCGTACCTTTTTACTTTAAAAAAAATCTTGATTGTGGACTTGACAGTGCCCGATATATCCATATTTTTACAACGTTTGGACTTTAGTATAAAACAACCCATAACAAGGTTAATATTGAAAACTAAGTTTAGGCAAGCAAGTAGGACTCCTATTAAAACATATAACTAACGATTACTAAGCTGTTAATTACAAAAAATAATGTGTTAATAATATTTTAATCAATTTTACTTTTGGTGTTCCAGCTTAAGAGTCTTCTGCAGACTTACAGATCTCTGTCTTTTTTCTAAAAGACCCTTCCTTCCTAAGGTCACTGTCGGCATTACCTTATTTTTATCCTCAATATTGAGCGTCTTTTAAAGAAAGGAATGATATCGGTTCTGTCCCGAAGTGCCAAAGTCAATAAAGTGGCACTTCATGCCTCGTGTTTGAATGAGAAATTAGGACCAGTGAGTTCTTTGGTTAGAATGATCAATATGGTGTTATATTACTGTGAGATACAAATGGCATTTCAGAGTAATCATCATCATCATCATCATCATCATCATCATCATCATCATCATCATCATCATCATCATCATCATCATCATCAGTTCATCTTCGAGAGTCAAACCCCAAAGACAAATCAAGAGCAAAGTCTTGTATTTGTTCCTACTTACTTTAAATGAAATTAATCAAATTGAAAAACAGGAGTCCCAATGGGCCTGCATCGCTCACCTGATGTTCAAAGCTTATTACAAAACAGTAATATGTGAGCTTCATTCTACAACCCCACCAGTCAAATAACATAGCATTTAGCCCTTCGAATAATCAGAAGTCAGTTGAAAGTTTTAACAAATTTGATCCTGTGACCTTGAAAATAAGTCAAGGTCATATATGTTCGCACATTTTGTCATTCTTCTTCCAAGGATATTTCCAGCTAAATATCACGATCTGTGACCTTTAATAACGCATTGACCAAAAACAAAAACTTCATACACGTACGTAGATATTTTCCAGGTTAATACCACGTTCACAATTATATCTGATATAGTCAGCCCTCGATAGTCTCGCTACTAGGCGACTTAATCAACTACACAGCAGCATCAATAACACATCCTCATTAATATTGTATCTTAAAATATATAAAACTGTCACGGCGTATCTAACACGCGCATCCATTATATATTTTTTATAATAAAACCAAACATTGATATTTTTTTATATTCAGAATTATTGAACTCAGCGAGCGCGATCGAATCCAACTTTAATGATAATGCTCTGATAGAATGGTCAGGGGAGTCGCAACCTGGCATTCTCAATCGATACTTAAATATAACTCTTCCTCGGTAAACAGTAATTCCGGGTAGCGTTTGTAAACAATATTTCCGGGTGGCGTTGGTAAACAGTAATTGCGGGTAGCGTTTGTAAACAGTAATTGCGGGTAGCGTTTGTAAACAGTAATTGCGGGTAGCGTTTGTAAACAGTAATTGCGGGTAGCGTTGGTAAATAGTAATTGCGGGTAGCGTTTGTAAACAGTAATTGCGGGTAGCGTTGGTTAACAGTAATTCCGGGTAGCGTTTGTAAACAGTAATTGCGGGTAGCGTTTGTAAACAATAATTGCGGGTAGCGTTTGTAAACAATAATTCCGGGTAGCGTTTGTAAACAGTTATTGTGGGTAGCGTTGGTAAACAGTAATTACGGGTAGCGTTGGTAAACAATAATTCCGGGTAGCGTTTGTAAACAGTAATTGCGGGTAGCGTTTGTAAACAGTAATTACGGGTAGTGTTGGTAAACACTAATTAAGGGTAACGTTGGTAAACAGTAATTCCGGGTAGCGTTGGTAAACAGTAATTACGGGTAGCGTTGGTAAACAGTAATTACGGGTAGCGTTGGTAAACAGTAATTCCGGGTAACGTTGGTAGACGATATTTCCGGATTGCTTTTTGTGTTCGGACTAACAGAAATTCCACATGTCAAATGTGACATCTATGAGTGTGAGAAAATGAAACCTATTGTGCCGACTAATTAAACATAAGATAAACATAAACAATTATGATAAAAATAACGAGAATATCTATAACAGCTTTGTATCGTCAGAGACCGTTTTCTGAGATCAAAGAGACAAAACAAATAAATGATGGAAGTACGATCAAATAAAACGAAACCATTGGTATAAGAATTAGTTTAAATATTTAATAATTGTTTTAAAACAATCGATGTACAAGTATGGTAATGATTACATCGGAAACAAGTGACCCTAATTAAGGAATAGTCCTGGATAGAAGTTTGTCCCCTGGTTAATTTCATTTCCCTGTTGTGTTCGCATATTGATAACAACTTTCACGGTTTATCCCAGGAATAAAGAAACTGAAATCTAAATTTCAATATTAAAGATAAACTTGTTCTTTTGAAAAGCAATCATTGTTTTATGGCACATACCGTAACTACATCCTGGACATGGCAACGCAGTTGACGGAACTGAAACATGAAATATCTTATGACACGATAAAGTCCTTACATTCAGTCCAATAGAAGTTGTCATCACACTTGCTTATATTTACCTGTATAAGACACTATAATTGTGATACACACAAAAACAGAATTATAGTATATCGGTGAAAGTTCTTATACATGCACTCAAACAACTCACCTTCAGAACGTAAACGAGTTTTTCCAACATGGTACACTTTTTTTCAAAAATGAAACCCGTGAAATGCCGTACTTTAAACAAGTGATTTTGTTCATTTTTATCTTTTGTTTTTCTGCATTTAGTTTCTTTTTTCTGTTTTGTTTTTTTATCCTGTTCTTGTTTGATTGTTTAGTATTTGATATCAATTTTTATGCACTAAAGAATTTACCCACACTTTGACGACAAAATACAGCTGTATATTTGTGATCAAATTGTAATTATCTACATATTATTGTAGATGAAGTTTGGGGTATTGATGAATATAACTGGGGCTTAACCATTTTGTTTTATTTCTATTGCAAAGAAGCGTGTTTTAACGAAAAAATAATATAACACGTGGCTGTTTCATGGTCTACTTTTGTGACCATCATTCTGAGGTGTAAGTAGTATTCAAATGTTATTTATAGAACAAATAATGTCACGAATTACGCAAACATGACGCAGGATTTTTGTTATCATACATGCAGTTACCGTACACGTAAGACGGATGTTACTTACTTCTATAGTCAATAAAAAATGACACGGTTTTTAAAATACGGAAACAAAAACAAAAGTTTCTTTTTCTTTTTTGGAAAAATATTTGAAAAAAAATATGACAGTTCTTCAAGTTTATCAAACTGAATTCAAATGCAAACGGATGTCTTTGGGGTTATTTCGTCCCTTTGAAATATTCAGAAATTCTCAGTTAATACAGAAATGCTTTTCAAATGTTCATATGTATTTTCAGTAATGGTTTGTTCATAATTTTAACGTAAAATGCCTGGGAAAACTACTATAGGAGTTTCTAAAACTTCGATTAAAAGATATACGTTAATATATGGCTTACCTTTATCCATCAACACTAGTCACACGTGTGTCTGTGTTTAGGTAATCGTTTCTATCTAGATCTAGTTCCAATTCCATACTGTAACGTTGCGTCGGAGTTTTCCTGACAGTGTTTTCTGTTTTCATGAGTTATATATTTTACCAGTATTCATGTGAACCGTTTTCGGTGTTTTAATCAACTATATGTCAGGATTATGATACTACAAGAGTATTTCATTATCTTTTAACTATGCTTCAGATCCACCAGAGGAAAGGGTAGAGTGTGATGATAAAGGATGTCCTACACACATTAGACCGACATGGAATGGCAGGATACCTGCTGATTGCTCTGCTTGTTGTCACGTGTAAGTCCAAACCAAAGTATGCTGTATATATTGCCTGTTTAAATGTTGGACAATATCAAGGGCAGGTGTATCTTTGTCTACATCTTGCTTGGGAATATCGTTTAAACAGATGTTTTAAAACGCTTAACCTTTCGAAACACCATGTCCGATTATCGTTGTACTTTTATAGGGGTCTCCCATCCTCGATACTCCAGGGGTTACGATAACTACATCCTCGATACTGCTGGCGTAACGATCACTACATCCTCGATACTCCAGGGGTTACGATCACTACATCCTCGATACTCCAGGGGTTACGATCACTACATCCTCGAAACTCCAGGGGTTACGATCACTACATCCTCGATACTACAGGGGTTACGATCACTACATCCTCGATACTCCAGGGTTACGATCACTACATCCTCGATACTACAGGGGTTACGACCACTACATCCTCGATACTCCAGGGGTTACGACCACTACATCCTCGATACTCCAGGGGTTACGACCACTACATCCTCGATACTCCAGGGGGAGTGTTGAGGATGTAGTGGGCGTTACACCTGGAGGATTGAGAATGAAGTGGGCGTTAACCCTGGAGTATTGAGGATGTAGTGGGTGTTACCCCTGGATTATTGAGGATACAGTGGGCGTTACCCCTGGAGTATCTAGGATGTAGTGATCGTAACCCCAGGGGTATTGAGGATGTAGTGGGCGTTACACCTGGATTATTGAGGATGTAGTGGGTGTTACCCCTGGAGTATCGAGGATACAATGGGCGTTACCCCTGGAGTATCTAGGATGTAGCGATCGTAACCCCTGGGGTATTGAGGATGAAGTGGGCGTTACACCTGGAGTATCTAGGATGTAGTGATTGTAACCCCTGGAGTATTGAGGATGTAGTGGGCGTTACACCTGGAGTATTGAGGATGTAGTGGGCGTTATCCCTGGAGTATTTAGGATGTAGTGGGTGTTACCCCTGGAGTATTGAGGATGTAGTGATCGTAACCCCTTGAGTATTGAGGATGTAGTGGGCGTTACACCTGGAGTATTGAGGATGTAGTGGGTGTTACCCCTGGAGTATTGTGGATGTAGTGGGCGTTACCCCTGGAGTATTGAGGATGTAGTGGGCGTTACCCCTGGAGTATTGAGGATGTAGTGGGCGTTACACCTGGAGTATTGAGGACGAGGGTCTCTGTGAAAATCTTGTTTATTTTTTCCCTATTAAGCATTGTTTCGTCGATTTTCGGTTAAGCTTTCCACGATACAATTTATGCACGACTGATAGCTTAAGACACTTTTAAATATATTCTTATGTGTCAATTAGAAATACACATTACTATGCACTGCCTGTTTCTCTTTCATCAGATAATGGGAATTTAATACATTGTTCTACCACTTCCGGTACGTCTTTCGCCAATCCACACAATGATACCACTTCCTATCCTAGTAGTGGGACGACGAAAACCAGCGCCTCCACAGGACAGACCTCCACCAACGCAAGAAGTATTCTAAACACGTCACCATCTTCATCATCTTCATCAACATCGTCATCATCATCAACGCCATCTTCTAACTCGACTACCTCAACGTTGGCAAGTAAGTAGTGATTGGTTGGTTACGTGACTCTTCCTATTGCAAGGCGTTGCCTCACCGACCGACGGGCGACACCTACATCCCCTTCATGTCGTCGATCGGGATGCCCGTAGTGTTGACCAGTTTTAAAAGGCGCTTTGGCGTGGGTTGATTTTTCATATGGAAAAGATGTACCAAGGGACATAACTCGTATAAACATTTCGATTTCCTTCCGATGATTTTATTATTATTTTTTTTAAAAGAAAGAAGTCTTATATAGAAATTCTGTAAAACCATTTCTTGTATCTTCATCTCTCTGGCTAAAGTAGGACTTAAATCATCCTGATTTAAAAAAACATTTCTTGTAGTCAGAGCAGGAAATTAATTTAATATTAGACATAATTTAGTGACGTTAGTGTAAGCATATCAGTAACATGTAATCAAAATATGTCAGAAATAAGTCAGAAAGTGTTATTGACGTCAGAATAGATATCCATGAACTGAATTAGAACGTCTTAGTGACGTCAGAATAATTAACACGTGTTTCATCGGACGTGTTAGTGATGTCAGAATAATAAACACGTGTTTCATCGAGACGTATTAGTGACGTCAGAATGATAAACAGGTGTCTCATCTAGACGTGTTAGTGACGTCAGAATAGATATCCATGAACTGGCGTGTTAGTGACGTCAGAATGATAAACAGGTGTCTCATCTATACGTGTTAGTGACGTCAGAATAGATATCCATGAACTGAATTAGAACGTCTTAGTGACGTCAGAATAATTAACACGTGTTTCATCGAGACGTGTTAATGACGTCAGAATGATAAACACGTGTTTCATCGAGACGTGTTAGTGACGTCAGAATAATAAATACATGTCTCATCTAGACGTGTTAGTGACGTCAGAATAGATATCCATGAACTGAATCAGAACGTTTTAGTGACTTCAGAATAATTAACAGGTGTTTCATCGAGACGTGTTAGTGACGTCAGAATAATAAACACATGTCTTATCTAGACGTGTTAGTGACGTCAGAATAGATATCCATGAACTTAATCAGAACGTCTTAGAGACGTCAGAATTATAATTAAATTATAACCACCAGTGGAACATCCATGTTCCAGTTTATTTGCTTTGGTTATGGAGAAATAAAGAACATTGTTTTTCATTAATTTATCTAAATGACGAGTTATATATAGATGTCCTAATACACACATTTCATGTATGGGTATTTCCGGAAACGATTTCTTTTATTAGATTTCCACATCATTTCTTATTCGTACAGAACTTGTAGAATTAAAATCTTCTTACATGTAGTATTTCAAAATTAGCGTTTAGTATAAACTTCAATTTTGTATAGGTCTGTAATATTATTTACAATGTTGTTAATAATATTGAGGAAACATATATGATTTGACTGTATAAAAGTAATAAAAGAATAGTTTTACCAGGGCAAAGCATTTTTAAGCGCATACATATATCTTTTACAAAAAAACTTCGATATTTCAATAATGTACGCTAATATCTCTTTTAAAGATTTTCCACCAACGTCTTCATCGCCACCTCCTCTGGGCAGCTCATCTTCGTCTTCCGACCCACTTGTGCCTACTACTAACTTAGCAACTACACCACCAGATCATTCTACATCAATAAATCCAGCGGAAACACCCTCCCAAGTTACCCAGGCTAATGCGGACACTACATATTCACCGAGTCAGATTGTTACATCTGAGAAATCCGAAAATAGTACTCTACATTCAACAATAGGTTCCGCGATTGATACTTCGCAGACAGTAGTGAACTCAACAACCACTTCGAGTAACAATGCAAATATCACTAGGTTTTCTCAGCCAGGAAGTATAACAACTGATTCAGTAACCTCTCAGATGTCAACAAAACAAACAACTACGATATCTACAAGTGATTTACCTCAATCAAACATTACACTATCTTCATCAACTTCAATTACAAGTGTACCTGCAGGTTCACAATTCACATCTAGAGCAACAAATTCTTCAACTTTTTCTACAGTGGGTGGTAGCACAACAATATCAGCTGTAACTACCAGTACAAGTGTACCTGTAAGTTCACAGTCAACCGCTAAAGCAAGCCATTCTTCAACGTTTTCTACTGAAACGTCTACAGGTTCAACAAGTCCACACACATCGTCAGCATCAACAACAATCGGAAGCTCTACCAGTGGTCCTTCCCCGACAACAGTGACAACAGGATCAACTGCGACGACATCGCAATCAACCACTGTCACCGGAAGTTCCACCTCTCCAACCGGTATTTCGACCTCGTCAAGCACGCTTCCGGCGGCGGGTACATCATCTACGTCGACAACTTCCCTCGGCGGTTCAACCACTGCGACCTCTAGTACGACTGGGAATAATGCTACTGCTACCACCAGTGTAGGACCTTCAACATCACAGTCTTCAAGTCCAGTAGTAACGTCTTCTTCAACTCCAGTAGTGAATACAATGGTTGGTGGCGTTTCTACCTCTTCCATTCCGTCGTCTACATCACAAACCGATACAAGTACAAAATCAAGCACGACGACAATATCTTCTAGTGGAAGTTCACTACCATCGACGGAGCGTTCTTCTGTTCACAGTAGCACAGTTGAAGGCACAACTTCTGCAATGCAGTCGACAAGTGAGTCTACAAGCGAATCTCCAACGACTATCAAGAGTACAGTTGGTTCCAGTACTGACACGATTTCCACTTCCGCATCGAGCACAAGCGTAACAGGGAAAACGTCACCATCATCATCGATGACACCGATCACGACCTCATCGAATACAGCGAGTGAAACATCATCATCAACGCTGTCGTCTTCGTCAACCACACAGTCAACAAGCCAATCTTCTACAAGTACAGTGAGTGGTAGTACAACAATGCCAGGTGTAACTAGCAGTACAAGTGTACCTGTAAGTTCACAGTCAACCGCTAAAGCAAGCCATTCTTCAACGTTTTCTACTGAAACGTCTACAGGTTCAACAAGTCCACACACATCGTCAGCATCAACAACAATCGGAAGCTCTACCAGTGGTCCTTCCCCGACAACAGTGACAACAGGGTCAACTGCGACGACATCGCAATCAACCACTGTCACCGGAAGTTCCACCTCTCCAACCGGTATTTCGACCTCGTCAAGCACGCTTCCGGCGGCGGGTACATCATCTATGTCAACAATTTCCCTCGGCGGTTCAACAACAGCGACCTCTAGTACGACTGGGAATAATGCTACTTCTACCACCAGTGTAGGACCTTCAACATCACAGTCTTCAAGTCCAGTAGTAACGTCTTCTTCAACTCCAGTAGTGAATACAATGGTTGGTGGCGTTTCTACCTCTTCCATTCCGTCGTCTACATCACAAACCGATACAAGTACAAAATCAAGCACGACGACAATATCTTCTAGTGGAAGTTCACTACCATCGACGGAGCGTTCTTCTGTTCACAGTAGCACAGTTGAAGGCACAACTTCTGCAATGCAGTCGACAAGTGAGTCTACAAGCGAATCTCCAACGACTATCAAGAGTACAGTTGGTTCCAGTACTGACACGATTTCCACTTCCGCATCGAGCACAAGCGTAACAGGGAAAACGTCACCATCATCATCGATGACACCGATCACGACCTCATCGAATACAGCGAGTGAAACATCATCATCAACGCTGTCGTCTTCTCCAACCACACAGTCAACAAGCCAATCTTCTACAAGTACAGTGAGTGGTAGTACAACAATGTCAGGTGTAACTAGCAGTACAAGTGTACCTGTAAGTTCACAGTCAACCGCTAAAGCAAGCCATTCTTCAACGTTTTCTACTGAAACGTCTACAGGTTCAACAAGTCCACACACATCGTCAGCATCAACAACAATCGGAAGCTCTACCAGTGGTCCTTCCCCGACAACAGTGACAACAGGGTCAACTGCGACGACATCGCAATCAACCACTGTCACCGGAAGTTCCACCTCTCCAACCGGTATTTCGACCTCGTCAAGCACGCTTCCGGCGGCGGGTACATCATCTATGTCAACAACCTCCCTCGGCGGTTCAACAACAGCGACCTCTAGTACGACTGGGAATAATGCTACTTCTACCACCAGTGTAGGACCTTCAACATCACAGTCTTCAAGTCCAGTAGTAACGTCTTCTTCAACTCCAGTAGTGAATACAATGGTTGGTGGCGTTTCTACCTCTTCCATTCCGTCGTCTACATCACAAACCGATACAAGTACAAAATCAAGCACGACGACAATATCTTCTAGTGGAAGTTCACTACCATCGACGGAGCGTTCTTCTGTTCACAGTAGCACAGTTGAAGGCACAACTTCTGCAATGCAGTCGACAAGTGAGTCTACAAGCGAATCTCCAACGACTATCAAGAGTACAGTTGGTTCCAGTACTGACACGATTTCCACTTCCGCATCGAGCACAAGCGTAACAGGAAAAACGTCACCATCATCATCGATGACACCGATCACGACCTCATCGAATACAGCGAGTGAAACATCATCATCAACGCTGTCGTCTTCCCCAACCACACAGTCAACAAGCCAATCTTCTACAAGTACAGTGAGTGGTAGTACAACAATGTCAGGTGTAACTAGCAGTACAAGTGTACCTGTAAGTTCACAGTCAACCGCTAAAGCAAGCCATTCTTCAACGTTTTCTACTGAAACGTCTACAGGTTCAACAAGTCCACACACATCGTCAGCATCAACAACAATCGGAAGCTCTACCAGTGGTCCTTCCCCGACAACAGTGACAACAGGGTCAACTGCGACGACATCGCAATCAACCACTGTCACCGGAAGTTCCACCTCTCCAACCGGTATTTCGACCTCGTCAAGCACGCTTCCGGCGGCGGGTACATCATCTATGTCAACAATTTCCCTCGGCGGTTCAACAACAGCGACCTCTAGTACGACTGGGAATAATGCTACTTCTACCACCAGTGTAGGACCTTCAACATCACAGTCTTCAAGTCCAGTAGTAACGTCTTCTTCAACTCCAGTAGTGAATACAATGGTTGGTGGCGTTTCTACCTCTTCCATTCCGTCGTCTACATCACAAACCGATACAAGTACAAAATCAAGCACGACGACAATATCTTCTAGTGGAAGTTCACTACCATCGACGGAGCGTTCTTCTGTTCACAGTAGCACAGTTGAAGGCACAACTTCTGCAATGCAGTCGACAAGTGAGTCTACAAGCGAATCTCCAACGACTATCAAGAGTACAGTTGGTTCCAGTACTGACACGATTTCCACTTCCGCATCGAGCACAAGCGTAACAGGGGAAACGTCACCATCATCATCGATGACACCGATCACGACCTCATCGAATACAGCGAGTGAAACATCATCATCAACGCTGTCGTCTTCGCCAACCACACAGTCAACAAGCCAATCTTCTACAAGTACAGTGAGTGGTAGTACAACAATGTCAGGTGTAACTAGCAGTACAAGTGTACCTGTAAGTTCACAGTCAACCGCTAAAGCAAGCCATTCTTCAACGTTTTCTACTGAAACGTCTACAGGTTCAACAAGTCCACACACATCGTCAGCATCAACAACAATCGGAAGCTCTACCAGTGGTCCTTCCCCGACAACAGTGACAACAGGGTCAACTGCGACGACATCGCAATCAACCACTGTCACCGGAAGTTCCACCTCTCCAACCGGTATTTCGACCTCGTCAAGCACGCTTCCGGCGGCGGGTACATCATCTACGTCGACAACTTCCCTCGGCGGTTCAACCACTGCGACCTCTAGTACGACTGGGAATAATGCTACTGCTACCACCAGTGTAGGACCTTCAACATCACAGTCTTCAAGTCCAGTAGTAACGTCTTCTTCAACTCCAGTAGTGAATACAATGGTTGGTGGCGTTTCTACCTCTTCCATTCCGTCGTCTACATCACAAACCGATACAAGTACAAAATCAAGCACGACGACAATATCTTCTAGTGGAAGTTCACTACCGTCGACGGAGCGTTCTTCTGTTCACAGTAGCACAGTTGAAGGCACAACTTCTGCAATGCAGTCGACAAGTGAGTCTACAAGCGAATCTCCAACGACTATCAAGAGTACAGTTGGTTCCAGTACTGACACGATTTCCACTTCCGCATCGAGCACAAGCGTAACAGGGGAAACGTCACCATCATCATCGATGACACCGATCACGACCTCATCGAATACAGCGAGTGAAACATCATCATCAACGCTGTCGTCTTCGCCAACCACACAGTCAACAAGCCAATCTTCTACAAGTACAGTGAGTGGTAGTACAACAATGCCAGGTGTAACTAGCAGTACAAGTGTACCTTTAAGTTCACAGTCAACCGCTAAAGCAAGCCATTCATCAACGTTTTCTACTGAAACGTCTACAGGTTCAACAAGTCCACACACATCGTCAGCATCAACAACAATCGGAAGCTCTACCAGTGGTCCTTCCCCGACAACAGTGACAACAGGGTCAACTGCGACGACATCGCAATCAACCACTGTCACCGGAAGTTCCACCTCTCCAACCGGTATTTCGACCTCGTCAAGCACGCTTCCGGCGGCGGGTACATCATCTACGTCGACAACTTCCCTCGGCGGTTCAACCACTGCGACCTCTAGTACGACTGGGAATAATGCTACTGCTACCACCAGTGTAGGACCTTCAACATCACAGTCTTCAAGTCCAGTAGTAACGTCTTCTTCAACTCCAGTAGTGAATACAATGGTTGGTGGCGTTTCTACCTCTTCCATTCCGTCGTCTACATCACAAACCGATACAAGTACAAAATCAAGCACGACGACAATATCTTCTAGTGGAAGTTCACTACCATCGACGGAGCGTTCTTCTGTTCACAGTAGCACAGTTGAAGGCACAACTTCTGCAATGCAGTCGACAAGTGAGTCTACAAGCGAATCTCCAACGACTATCAAGAGTACAGTTGGTTCCAGTACTGACACGATTTCCACTTCCGCATCGAGCACAAGCGTAACAGGGGAAACGTCACCATCATCATCGATGACACCGATCACGACCTCATCGAATACAGCGAGTGAAACATCATCATCAACGCTGTCGTCTTCGCCAACCACACAGTCAACAAGCCAATCTTCTACAAGTACAGTGAGTGGTAGTACAACAATGCCAGGTGTAACTAGCACTACAAGTGTACCTGTAAGTTCACAATCAACCGCTAAAGCAAGCCATTCATCAACGTTTTCTACTGAAACGTCTACAGGTTCAACAAGTCCACACACATCGTCAGCATCAACAACAATCGGAAGCTCTACCAGTGGTCCTTCCCCGACAACAGTGACAACAGGGTCAACTGCGACGACATCGCAATCAACCACTGTCACCGGAAGTTCCACCTCTCCAACCGGTATTTCGACCTCGTCAAGCACGCTTCCGGCGGCGGGTACATCATCTACGTCGACAACTTCCCTCGGCGGTTCAACCACTGCGACCTCTAGTACGACTGGGAATAATGCTACTGCTACCACCAGTGTAGGACCTTCAACATCACAGTCTTCAAGTCCAGTAGTAACGTCTTCTTCAACTCCAGTAGTGAATACAATGGTTGGTGGCGTTTCTACCTCTTCCATTCCGTCGTCTACATCACAAACCGATACAAGTACAAAATCAAGCACGACGACAATATCTTCTAGTGGAAGTTCACTACCGTCGACGGAGCGTTCTTCTGTTCACAGTAGCACAGTTGAAGGCACAACTTCTGCAATGCAGTCGACAAGTGAGTCTACAAGCGAATCTCCAACGACTATCAAGAGTACAGTTGGTTCCAGTACTGACACGATTTCCACTTCCGCATCGAGCACAAGCGTAACAGGGGAAACGTCACCATCATCATCGATGACACCGATCACGACCTCATCGAATACAGCGAGTGAAACATCATCATCAACGCTGTCGTCTTCGCCAACCACACAGTCAACAAGCCAATCTTCTACAAGTACAGTGAGTGGTAGTACAACAATGCCAGGTGTAACTAGCACTACAAGTGTACCTGTAAGTTCACAATCAACCGCTAAAGCAAGCCATTCATCAACGTTTTCTACTGAAACGTCTACAGGTTCAACAAGTCCACACACATCGTCAGCATCAACAACAATCGGAAGCTCTACCAGTGGTCCTTCCCCGACAACAGTGACAACAGGGTCAACTGCGACGACATCGCAATCAACCACTGTCACCGGAAGTTCCACCTCTCCAACCGGTATTTCGACCTCGTCAAGCACGCTTCCGGCGGCGGGTACATCATCTACGTCGACAACTTCCCTCGGCGGTTCAACCACTGCGACCTCTAGTACGACTGGGAATAATGCTACTGCTACCACCAGTGTAGGACCTTCAACATCACAGTCTTCAAGTCCAGTAGTAACGTCTTCTTCAACTCCAGTAGTGAATACAATGGTTGGTGGCGTTTCTACCTCTTCCATTCCGTCGTCTACATCACAAACCGATACAAGTACAAAATCAAGCACGACGACAATATCTTCTAGTGGAAGTTCACTACCGTCGACGGAGCGTTCTTCTGTTCACAGTAGCACAGTTGAAGGCACAACTTCTGCAATGCAGTCGACAAGTGAGTCTACAAGCGAATCTCCAACGACTATCAAGAGTACAGTTGGTTCCAGTACTGACACGATTTCCACTTCCGCATCGAGCACAAGCGTAACAGGGGAAACGTCACCATCATCATCGATGACACCGATCACGACCTCATCGAATACAGCGAGTGAAACATCATCATCAACGCTGTCGTCTTCGCCAACCACACAGTCAACAAGCCAATCTTCTACAAGTACAGTGAGTGGTAGTACAACAATGCCAGGTGTAACTAGCACTACAAGTGTACCTGTAAGTTCACAATCAACCGCTAAAGCAAGCCATTCATCAACGTTTTCTACTGAAACGTCTACAGGTTCAACAAGTCCACACACATCGTCAGCATCAACAACAATCGGAAGCTCTACCAGTGGTCCTTCCCCGACAACAGTGACAACAGGGTCAACTGCGACGACATCGCAATCAACCACTGTCACCGGAAGTTCCACCTCTCCAACCGGTATTTCGACCTCGTCAAGCACGCTTCCGGCGGCGGGTACATCATCTACGTCGACAACTTCCCTCGGCGGTTCAACCACTGCGACCTCTAGTACGACTGGGAATAATGCTACTGCTACCACCAGTGTAGGACCTTCAACATCACAGTCTTCAAGTCCAGTAGTAACGTCTTCTTCAACTCCAGTAGTGAATACAATGGTTGGTGGCGTTTCTACCTCTTCCATTCCGTCGTCTACATCACAAACCGATACAAGTACAAAATCAAGCACGACGACAATATCTTCTAGTGGAAGTTCACTACCGTCGACGGAGCGTTCTTCTGTTCACAGTAGCACAGTTGAAGGCACAACTTCTGCAATGCAGTCGACAAGTGAGTCTACAAGCGAATCTCCAACGACTATCAAGAGTACAGTTGGTTCCAGTACTGACACGATTTCCACTTCCGCATCGAGCACAAGCGTAACAGGGGAAACGTCACCATCATCATCGATGACACCGATCACGACCTCATCGAATACAGCGAGTGAAACATCATCATCAACGCTGTCGTCTTCGCCAACCACACAGTCAACAAGCCAATCTTCTACAAGTACAGTGAGTGGTAGTACAACAATGCCAGGTGTAACTAGCACTACAAGTGTACCTGTAAGTTCACAATCAACCGCTAAAGCAAGCCATTCATCAACGTTTTCTACTGAAACGTCTACAGGTTCAACAAGTCCACACACATCGTCAGCATCAACAACAATCGGAAGCTCTACCAGTGGTCCTTCCCCGACAACAGTGACAACAGGGTCAACTGCGACGACATCGCAATCAACCACTGTCACCGGAAGTTCCACCTCTCCAACCGGTATTTCGACCTCGTCAAGCACGCTTCCGGCGGCGGGTACATCATCTACGTCGACAACTTCCCTCGGCGGTTCAACCACTGCGACCTCTAGTACGACTGGGAATAATGCTACTGCTACCACCAGTGTAGGACCTTCAACATCACAGTCTTCAAGTCCAGTAGTAACGTCTTCTTCAACTCCAGTAGTGAATACAATGGTTGGTGGCGTTTCTACCTCTTCCATTCCGTCGTCTACATCACAAACCGATACAAGTACAAAATCAAGCACGACGACAATATCTTCTAGTGGAAGTTCACTACCGTCGACGGAGCGTTCTTCTGTTCACAGTAGCACAGTTGAAGGCACAACTTCTGCAATGCAGTCGACAAGTGAGTCTACAAGCGAATCTCCAACGACTATCAAGAGTACAGTTGGTTCCAGTACTGACACGATTTCCACTTCCGCATCGAGCACAAGCGTAACAGGGGAAACGTCACCATCATCATCGATGACACCGATCACGACCTCATCGAATACAGCGAGTGAAACATCATCATCAACGCTGTCGTCTTCGCCAACCACACAGTCAACAAGCCAATCTTCTACAAGTACAGTGAGTGGTAGTACAACAATGCCAGGTGTAACTAGCACTACAAGTGTACCTGTAAGTTCACAATCAACCGCTAAAGCAAGCCATTCATCAACGTTTTCTACTGAAACGTCTACAGGTTCAACAAGTCCACACACATCGTCAGCATCAACAACAATCGGAAGCTCTACCAGTGGTCCTTCCCCGACAACAGTGACAACAGGGTCAACTGCGACGACATCGCAATCAACCACTGTCACCGGAAGTTCCACCTCTCCAACCGGTATTTCGACCTCGTCAAGCACGCTTCCGGCGGCGGGTACATCATCTACGTCGACAACTTCCCTCGGCGGTTCAACCACTGCGACCTCTAGTACGACTGGGAATAATGCTACTGCTACCACCAGTGTAGGACCTTCAACATCACAGTCTTCAAGTCCAGTAGTAACGTCTTCTTCAACTCCAGTAGTGAATACAATGGTTGGTGGCGTTTCTACCTCTTCCATTCCGTCGTCTACATCACAAACCGATACAAGTACAAAATCAAGCACGACGACAATATCTTCTAGTGGAAGTTCACTACCGTCGACGGAGCGTTCTTCTGTTCACAGTAGCACAGTTGAAGGCACAACTTCTGCAATGCAGTCGACAAGTGAGTCTACAAGCGAATCTCCAACGACTATCAAGAGTACAGTTGGTTCCAGTACTGACACGATTTCCACTTCCGCATCGAGCACAAGCGTAACAGGGGAAACGTCACCATCATCATCGATGACACCGATCACGACCTCATCGAATACAGCGAGTGAAACATCATCATCAACGCTGTCGTCTTCGCCAACCACACAGTCAACAAGCCAATCTTCTACAAGTACAGTGAGTGGTAGTACAACAATGCCAGGTGTAACTAGCACTACAAGTGTACCTGTAAGTTCACAATCAACCGCTAAAGCAAGCCATTCATCAACGTTTTCTACTGAAACGTCTACAGGTTCAACAAGTCCACACACATCGTCAGCATCAACAACAATCGGAAGCTCTACCAGTGGTCCTTCCCCGACAACAGTGACAACAGGGTCAACTGCGACGACATCGCAATCAACCACTGTCACCGGAAGTTCCACCTCTCCAACCGGTATTTCGACCTCGTCAAGCACGCTTCCGGCGGCGGGTACATCATCTACGTCGACAACTTCCCTCGGCGGTTCAACCACTGCGACCTCTAGTACGACTGGGAATAATGCTACTGCTACCACCAGTGTAGGACCTTCAACATCACAGTCTTCAAGTCCAGTAGTAACGTCTTCTTCAACTCCAGTAGTGAATACAATGGTTGGTGGCGTTTCTACCTCTTCCATTCCGTCGTCTACATCACAAACCGATACAAGTACAAAATCAAGCACGACGACAATATCTTCTAGTGGAAGTTCACTACCGTCGACGGAGCGTTCTTCTGTTCACAGTAGCACAGTTGAAGGCACAACTTCTGCAATGCAGTCGACAAGTGAGTCTACAAGCGAATCTCCAACGACTATCAAGAGTACAGTTGGTTCCAGTACTGACACGATTTCCACTTCCGCATCGAGCACAAGCGTAACAGGGGAAACGTCACCATCATCATCGATGACACCGATCACGACCTCATCGAATACAGCGAGTGAAACATCATCATCAACGCTGTCGTCTTCGCCAACCACACAGTCAACAAGCCAATCTTCTACAAGTACAGTGAGTGGTAGTACAACAATGCCAGGTGTAACTAGCACTACAAGTGTACCTGTAAGTTCACAATCAACCGCTAAAGCAAGCCATTCATCAACGTTTTCTACTGAAACGTCTACAGGTTCAACAAGTCCACACACATCGTCAGCATCAACAACAATCGGAAGCTCTACCAGTGGTCCTTCCCCGACAACAGTGACAACAGGGTCAACTGCGACGACATCGCAATCAACCACTGTCACCGGAAGTTCCACCTCTCCAACCGGTATTTCGACCTCGTCAAGCACGCTTCCGGCGGCGGGTACATCATCTACGTCGACAACTTCCCTCGGCGGTTCAACCACTGCGACCTCTAGTACGACTGGGAATAATGCTACTGCTACCACCAGTGTAGGACCTTCAACATCACAGTCTTCAAGTCCAGTAGTAACGTCTTCTTCAACTCCAGTAGTGAATACAATGGTTGGTGGCGTTTCTACCTCTTCCATTCCGTCGTCTACATCACAAACCGATACAAGTACAAAATCAAGCACGACGACAATATCTTCTAGTGGAAGTTCACTACCGTCGACGGAGCGTTCTTCTGTTCACAGTAGCACAGTTGAAGGCACAACTTCTGCAATGCAGTCGACAAGTGAGTCTACAAGCGAATCTCCAACGACTATCAAGAGTACAGTTGGTTCCAGTACTGACACGATTTCCACTTCCGCATCGAGCACAAGCGTAACAGGGGAAACGTCACCATCATCATCGATGACACCGATCACGACCTCATCGAATACAGCGAGTGAAACATCATCATCAACGCTGTCGTCTTCGCCAACCACACAGTCAACAAGCCAATCTTCTACAAGTACAGTGAGTGGTAGTACAACAATGCCAGGTGTAACTAGCACTACAAGTGTACCTGTAAGTTCACAATCAACCGCTAAAGCAAGCCATTCATCAACGTTTTCTACTGAAACGTCTACAGGTTCAACAAGTCCACACACATCGTCAGCATCAACAACAATCGGAAGCTCTACCAGTGGTCCTTCCCCGACAACAGTGACAACAGGGTCAACTGCGACGACATCGCAATCAACCACTGTCACCGGAAGTTCCACCTCTCCAACCGGTATTTCGACCTCGTCAAGCACGCTTCCGGCGGCGGGTACATCATCTACGTCGACAACTTCCCTCGGCGGTTCAACCACTGCGACCTCTAGTACGACTGGGAATAATGCTACTGCTACCACCAGTGTAGGACCTTCAACATCACAGTCTTCAAGTCCAGTAGTAACGTCTTCTTCAACTCCAGTAGTGAATACAATGGTTGGTGGCGTTTCTACCTCTTCCATTCCGTCGTCTACATCACAAACCGATACAAGTACAAAATCAAGCACGACGACAATATCTTCTAGTGGAAGTTCACTACCGTCGACGGAGCGTTCTTCTGTTCACAGTAGCACAGTTGAAGGCACAACTTCTGCAATGCAGTCGACAAGTGAGTCTACAAGCGAATCTCCAACGACTATCAAGAGTACAGTTGGTTCCAGTACTGACACGATTTCCACTTCCGCATCGAGCACAAGCGTAACAGGGGAAACGTCACCATCATCATCGATGACACCGATCACGACCTCATCGAATACAGCGAGTGAAACATCATCATCAACGCTGTCGTCTTCGCCAACCACACAGTCAACAAGCCAATCTTCTACAAGTACAGTGAGTGGTAGTACAACAATGCCAGGTGTAACTAGCACTACAAGTGTACCTGTAAGTTCACAATCAACCGCTAAAGCAAGCCATTCATCAACGTTTTCTACTGAAACGTCTACAGGTTCAACAAGTCCACACACATCGTCAGCATCAACAACAATCGGAAGCTCTACCAGTGGTCCTTCCCCGACAACAGTGACAACAGGGTCAACTGCGACGACATCGCAATCAACCACTGTCACCGGAAGTTCCACCTCTCCAACCGGTATTTCGACCTCGTCAAGCACGCTTCCGGCGGCGGGTACATCATCTACGTCGACAACTTCCCTCGGCGGTTCAACCACTGCGACCTCTAGTACGACTGGGAATAATGCTACTGCTACCACCAGTGTAGGACCTTCAACATCACAGTCTTCAAGTCCAGTAGTAACGTCTTCTTCAACTCCAGTAGTGAATACAATGGTTGGTGGCGTTTCTACCTCTTCCATTCCGTCGTCTACATCACAAACCGATACAAGTACAAAATCAAGCACGACGACAATATCTTCTAGTGGAAGTTCACTACCGTCGACGGAGCGTTCTTCTGTTCACAGTAGCACAGTTGAAGGCACAACTTCTGCAATGCAGTCGACAAGTGAGTCTACAAGCGAATCTCCAACGACTATCAAGAGTACAGTTGGTTCCAGTACTGACACGATTTCCACTTCCGCATCGAGCACAAGCGTAACAGGGGAAACGTCACCATCATCATCGATGACACCGATCACGACCTCATCGAATACAGCGAGTGAAACATCATCATCAACGCTGTCGTCTTCGCCAACCACACAGTCAACAAGCCAATCTTCTACAAGTACAGTGAGTGGTAGTACAACAATGCCAGGTGTAACTAGCACTACAAGTGTACCTGTAAGTTCACAATCAACCGCTAAAGCAAGCCATTCATCAACGTTTTCTACTGAAACGTCTACAGGTTCAACAAGTCCACACACATCGTCAGCATCAACAACAATCGGAAGCTCTACCAGTGGTCCTTCCCCGACAACAGTGACAACAGGGTCAACTGCGACGACATCGCAATCAACCACTGTCACCGGAAGTTCCACCTCTCCAACCGGTATTTCGACCTCGTCAAGCACGCTTCCGGCGGCGGGTACATCATCTACGTCGACAACTTCCCTCGGCGGTTCAACCACTGCGACCTCTAGTACGACTGGGAATAATGCTACTGCTACCACCAGTGTAGGACCTTCAACATCACAGTCTTCAAGTCCAGTAGTAACGTCTTCTTCAACTCCAGTAGTGAATACAATGGTTGGTGGCGTTTCTACCTCTTCCATTCCGTCGTCTACATCACAAACCGATACAAGTACAAAATCAAGCACGACGACAATATCTTCTAGTGGAAGTTCACTACCGTCGACGGAGCGTTCTTCTGTTCACAGTAGCACAGTTGAAGGCACAACTTCTGCAATGCAGTCGACAAGTGAGTCTACAAGCGAATCTCCAACGACTATCAAGAGTACAGTTGGTTCCAGTACTGACACGATTTCCACTTCCGCATCGAGCACAAGCGTAACAGGGGAAACGTCACCATCATCATCGATGACACCGATCACGACCTCATCGAATACAGCGAGTGAAACATCATCATCAACGCTGTCGTCTTCGCCAACCACACAGTCAACAAGCCAATCTTCTACAAGTACAGTGAGTGGTAGTACAACAATGCCAGGTGTAACTAGCAGTACAAGTGTACCTGTAAGTTCACAGTCAACCGCTAAAGCAAGCCATTCTTCAACGTTTTCTACTGAAACGTCTACAGGTTCAACAAGTCCACACACATCGTCAGCATCAACAACAATCGGAAGCTCTACCAGTGGTCCTTCCCCGACAACAGTGACAACAGGGTCAACTGCGACGACATCGCAATCAATCACTGTCACCGGAAGTTCCACCTCTCCAACAGGTATTTCGACCTCGTCAAGCACGCTTCCGGCGGCGGGTACATCATCTACGTCGACAACTTCCCTCGGCGGTTCAACCACTGCGACCTCTAGTACGACTGGGAATAATGCTACTTCTACCACCAGTGTAGGACCTTCAACATCACAGTCTTCAAGTCCAGTAGTAACGTCTTCTTCAACTCCAGTAGTGAATACAATGGTTGGTGGCGTTTCTACCTCTTCCATTCCGTCGTCTACATCACAAACCGATACAAGTACAAAATCAAGCACGACGACAATATCTTCTAGTGGAAGTTCACTACCATCGACGGAGCGTTCTTCTGTTCACAGTAGCACAGTTGAAGGCACAACTTCTGCAATGCAGTCGACAAGTGAGTCTACAAGCGAATCTCCAACGACTATCAAGAGTACAGTTGGTTCCAGTACTGACACGATTTCCACTTCCGCATCGAGCACAATCGTAACAGGGAAAACATCACTATCATCATCGATGACACCGATCACGACCTCATCGAATACAGCGAGTGAAACATCATCATCAACGCTGTCGTCTTCGCCAACCACACAGTCAACAAGCCAATCTTCTACAAGTACAGTGAGTGGTAGTACAACAATGTCAGGTGTAACTAGCAGTACAAGTGTACCTGTTAGTTCACAGTCAACCGCTAAAGCAAGCCATTCTTCAACGTTTTCTACTGAAACGTCTACAGGTTCAACAAGTCCACACACATCGTCAGCATCAACAACAACCGGAAGCTCTACCAGTAGTTCGGGTTCAATACTGTCGACGGAAATTTTCTCTGGTGTCAATGGCACTGTTGGATCAACCTCAGTGTTTGGAATAGGTAATGATTATTGACGGGATCTTTTACTTGTTTTGGATTGATTATTTTCGTATTTGAATTTTTTAATCAGATAATTCTCAATTTTAATGATGTTGGATGGTTATTATTTGTAACTTATTATATATTTTTATTATTTAATATTTTAAAATAAACGTTGGATTTGCGGAGATGGCCATTCATAGGGCGGGAATTAACGTTCTCTTGCGTAATTTGATTAATAGCTCGTAAATTGTACTTTTCAGATCAAACAACTTCAGCTTCCCCACCCAAGATTGTTGCTGTAACACTCGAGACCACAAATACAGCAAACGAAAGGACTACTTCATACTCGGGTAAGATTATTGAATTACTGGACAACACCGAATTAAGAAGGTAGAACATTTGTGATTCCTTCCTTAGAAGCAAATATGGATTCAATTCCCAATTGCGGCTAATCAAATATAATAGCCTTTATATAAATAAATAAGTGAATCAATTATTTAATTCATTGATTCATTGACAAATTCATCTCACAAATGGACAAAATTTGCTGTAAACCTTCAAAGAAACTTTAACCTGAAACTGAAAATATGGCGTCAATATACTGTGTTCTCATTTGATGACACAAATCCTCTTGAAAGGTCTAATGTATAATTTCCATATTCAAGTCGTTCGGGATTGGATTTGTTTTCTGTATGGTTTGATGACTTTCGTGGAGATGAACGTTTGAGATGGAATTGAAAGTCGTGTCCCAAGTAAACAACCCCTTCAGATATCTTGTTTTGTGTTTTTTTTGTACCGGGCATTAATGATTTATTGATTTTATCTTTTCATTTGCGTAAATTTGCACTAGTGACAAATAACAATGCGATATTTCTCTATATTTCACAAGAAAAACTGTTATAAGTTGTTGTCTGATGTACACCATATTCCTGGGCTACATGACGTTGAGAATGCCCATGCATTATCATAGCAATGTCCCTGCCTCTACCGACTTCACTCAATCATAGCATTTCGCTATGTAATCACTTCGTAAAGAAGTCTTGTGAAGCTGATTTGTACTGTTCCATAGTTTGTAAGGATTTACATATGATAAAGGAGTACATCGGTTTCATGGAAAATAGGTTAAAATGATACAGTGTCGAGTATACAAAACGCATTAGTTATTGAAAATATTTAGGAACATGATACCCTTATATCTCTATAATGAACCAAGATTCAGCGAACGAAAAGACAATTTGCTAATTTTCCAAAATATTATTTGTTGGAATATAACACATCTTTCTTACGAGTTTATCTTTCAGTCTATTCTAGGGTAAGTTTTTAAAGAACATTTTTACATTCCGTGTCATATAGAAACACCTACATCATCGAGAATCGCCAATACAACAACAACATCTATTATGTCGATTGCTGTTACAGCAACTGAATCATCGACTTTAACTGCCGCACCAACAGGCCCTTCAACAAGTACAGACGAATCATTATCAACTTCTGAAACAAAAAGTCCTATTAGCAGTTCTTCACCTACAACTGAGAAGACATTTTCTTCCAAAGGAACACCTGGAACAAGTTCTACCACTGGCAGTTCTGTACCTCCCACCAGTCCTTCATCAAAGTCGAGCACAATTCCATTAACGGATAATTCCTTTTCAACTACGACAAGTTCCCTTGTCGGTTCATCTTCGGGGAGTTCTGTTACGTCTGGAAGTAATGTCGGCTCTAGCACAACTGAAGCAGCGTCTACAATACACTCTATCAGTCCTGGTGTAACAACTGCTTCCATTCCTGCAGTTAACACTATGAGTGGCATAAATGCTACTAGTTCATCTCCAACTTCAACATCACATACCGGTATGAGTACAAAGGAAAGCACAGTGCACACAACATCTAGTGGAATCACTTCTACTACTAGCGAAAGTTCTTCTGTTCCAAGCAGTACAGGTGGAATCACAACTGTAGAAACGAAGCCAACAAGTGAGTCAACAAGCATCAATCCATCGACAGCGGAGGAGACAACAGTTGAAACAAGCACTGACTCAGTTCCCAGTACCGAATCAACAGTGTTTACAGAGGAAACATCCGTATCGCCGTCAATGACACCTACCACGCTATCTTCCAATACTACAAGTGAATCGTCCACAGCTACTTTGTCGACTTTGCCTATCACCGGGTCAACAGATGAAGCTTCAAGTACAACAGTTAGCAAGGGCACACCCGTTACAACGGAAACAAGCAGGACAACTGAACACGTAACATCAAACACACCAGTTACGGGAACTGAATCATCGACTTTAGCTGCCGCACCAACAGGCCCTTCAACAAGTACAGACGAATCATTCTCAACTTCTGAAACAAAAAGTCCTATTAGCAGTTCTTCACCTACAACTGAGAAGACATTTTCTTCCAAAGGAACACCTGGAACAAGTTCTACCACTGGCAGTTCTGTACCTCCCACCAGTCCTTCATCAAAGTCGAGCACAATTCCATTAACGGATAATTCCTTTTCAACTACGACAAGTTCCCTTGTCGGTTCATCTTCGGGGAGTTCTGTTACGTCTGGAAGTAATGTCGGCTCTAGCACAACTGAAGCAGCGTCTACAATACACTCTATCAGTCCTGGTGTAACAACTGCTTCCATTCCTGCAGTTAACACTATGAGTGGCATAAATGCTACTAGTTCATCTCCAACTTCAACATCACATACCGGTATGAGTACAAAGGAAAGCACAGTGCACACAACATCTAGTGGAATCACTTCTACTACTAGCGAAAGTTCTTCTGTTCCAAGCAGTACAGGTGGAATCACAACTGTAGAAACGAAGCCAACAAGTGAGTCAACAAGCATCAATCCATCGACAGCGGAGGAGACAACAGTTGAAACAAGCACTGACTCAGTTCCCAGTACCGAATCAACAGTGTTTACAGAAGAAACATCCGTATCGCCGTCAATGACACCTACCACGCTATCTTCCAATACTACAAGTGAATCGTCCACAGCTACTTTGTCGACTTTGCCTATCACCGGGTCAACAGATGAAGCTTCAAGTACAACAGTTAGCAAGGGCACACCCGTTACAACGGAAACAAGCAGGACAACTGAACACGTAACATCAAACACACCAGTTACGGGAACTGAATCATCGACTTTAACTGCCGCACCAACAGGCCCTTCAACAAGTACAGACGAATCATTATCAACTTCTGAAACAAAAAGTCCTATTAGCAGTTCTTCACCTACAACTGAGAAGACATTTTCTTCCAAAGGAACACCTGGAACAAGTTCTACCACTGGCAGTTCTGTACCTCCCACCAGTCCTTCATCAAAGTCGAGCACAATTCCATTAACGGATAATTCCTTTTCAACTACGACAAGTTCCCTTGTCGGTTCATCTTCGGGGAGTTCTGTTACGTCTGGAAGTAATGTCGGCTCTAGCACAACTGAAGCAGCGTCTACAATACACTCTATCAGTCCTGGTGTAACAACTGCTTCCATTCCTGCAGTTAACACTATGAGTGGCATAAATGCTACTAGTTCATCTCCAACTTCAACATCACATACCGGTATGAGTACAAAGGAAAGCACAGTGCACACAACATCTAGTGGAATCACTTCTACTACTAGCGAAAGTTCTTCTGTTCCAAGCAGTACAGGTGGAATCACAACTGTAGAAACGAAGCCAACAAGTGAGTCAACAAGCATCAATCCATCGACAGCGGAGGAGACAACAGTTGAAACAAGCACTGACTCAGTTCCCAGTACCGAATCAACAGTGTTTACAGAAGAAACATCCGTATCGCCGTCAATGACACCTACCACGCTATCTTCCAATACTACAAGTGAATCGTCCACAGCTACTTTGTCGACTTTGCCTATCACCGGGTCAACAGATGAAGCTTCAAGTACAACAGTTAGCAAGGGCACACCCGTTACAACGGAAACAAGCAGGACAACTGAACACGTAACATCAAACACACCAGTTACGGGAACTGAATCATCGACTTTAACTGCCGCACCAACAGGCCCTTCAACAAGTACAGACGAATCATTATCAACTTCTGAAACAAAAAGTCCTATTAGCAGTTCTTCACCTACAACTGAGAAGACATTTTCTTCCAAAGGAACACCTGGAACAAGTTCTACCACTGGCAGTTCTGTACCTCCCACCAGTCCTTCATCAAAGTCGAGCACAATTCCATTAACGGATAATTCCTTTTCAACTACGACAAGTTCCCTTGTCGGTTCATCTTCGGGGAGTTCTGTTACGTCTGGAAGTAATGTCGGCTCTAGCACAACTGAAGCAGCGTCTACAATACACTCTATCAGTCCTGGTGTAACAACTGCTTCCATTCCTGCAGTTAACACTATGAGTGGCATAAATGCTACTAGTTCATCTCCAACTTCAACATCACATACCGGTATGAGTACAAAGGAAAGCACAGTGCACACAACATCTAGTGGAATCACTTCTACTACTAGCGAAAGTTCTTCTGTTCCAAGCAGTACAGGTGGAATCACAACTGTAGAAACGAAGCCAACAAGTGAGTCAACAAGCATCAATCCATCGACAGCGGAGGAGACAACAGTTGAAACAAGCACTGACTCAGTTCCCAGTACCGAATCAACAGTGTTTACAGAAGAAACATCCGTATCGCCGTCAATGACACCTACCACGCTATCTTCCAATACTACAAGTGAATCGTCCACAGCTACTTTGTCGACTTTGCCTATCACCGGGTCAACAGATGAAGCTTCAAGTACAACAGTTAGCAAGGGCACACCCGTTACAACGGAAACAAGCAGGACAACTGAACACGTAACATCAAACACACCAGTTACGGGAACTGAATCATCGACTTTAACTGCCGCACCAACAGGCCCTTCAACAAGTACAGACGAATCATTATCAACTTCTGAAACAAAAAGTCCTATTAGCAGTTCTTCACCTACAACTGAGAAGACATTTTCTTCCAAAGGAACACCTGGAACAAGTTCTACCACTGGCAGTTCTGTACCTCCCACCAGTCCTTCATCAAAGTCGAGCACAATTCCATTAACGGATAATTCCTTTTCAACTACGACAAGTTCCCTTGTCGGTTCATCTTCGGGGAGTTCTGTTACGTCTGGAAGTAATGTCGGCTCTAGCACAACTGAAGCAGCGTCTACAATACACTCTATCAGTCCTGGTGTAACAACTGCTTCCATTCCTGCAGTTAACACTATGAGTGGCATAAATGCTACTAGTTCATCTCCAACTTCAACATCACATACCGGTATGAGTACAAAGGAAAGCACAGTGCACACAACATCTAGTGGAATCACTTCTACTACTAGCGAAAGTTCTTCTGTTCCAAGCAGTACAGGTGGAATCACAACTGTAGAAACGAAGCCAACAAGTGAGTCAACAAGCATCAATCCATCGACAGCGGAGGAGACAACAGTTGAAACAAGCACTGACTCAGTTCCCAGTACCGAATCAACAGTGTTTACAGAAGAAACATCCGTATCGCCGTCAATGACACCTACCACGCTATCTTCCAATACTACAAGTGAATCGTCCACAGCTACTTTGTCGACTTTGCCTATCACCGGGTCAACAGATGAAGCTTCAAGTACAACAGTTAGCAAGGGCACACCCGTTACAACGGAAACAAGCAGGACAACTGAACACGTAACATCAAACACACCAGTTACGGGAACTGAATCATCGACTTTAACTGCCGCACCAACAGGCCCTTCAACAAGTACAGACGAATCATTATCAACTTCTGAAACAAAAAGTCCTATTAGCAGTTCTTCACCTACAACTGAGAAGACATTTTCTTCCAAAGGAACACCTGGAACAAGTTCTACCACTGGCAGTTCTGTACCTCCCACCAGTCCTTCATCAAAGTCGAGCACAATTCCATTAACGGATAATTCCTTTTCAACTACGACAAGTTCCCTTGTCGGTTCATCTTCGGGGAGTTCTGTTACGTCTGGAAGTAATGTCGGCTCTAGCACAACTGAAGCAGCGTCTACAATACACTCTATCAGTCCTGGTGTAACAACTGCTTCCATTCCTGCAGTTAACACTATGAGTGGCATAAATGCTACTAGTTCATCTCCAACTTCAACATCACATACCGGTATGAGTACAAAGGAAAGCACAGTGCACACAACATCTAGTGGAATCACTTCTACTACTAGCGAAAGTTCTTCTGTTCCAAGCAGTACAGGTGGAATCACAACTGTAGAAACGAAGCCAACAAGTGAGTCAACAAGCATCAATCCATCGACAGCGGAGGAGACAACAGTTGAAACAAGCACTGACTCAGTTCCCAGTACCGAATCAACAGTGTTTACAGAAGAAACATCCGTATCGCCGTCAATGACACCTACCACGCTATCTTCCAATACTACAAGTGAATCGTCCACAGCTACTTTGTCGACTTTGCCTATCACCGGGTCAACAGATGAAGCTTCAAGTACAACAGTTAGCAAGGGCACACCCGTTACAACGGAAACAAGCAGGACAACTGAACACGTAACATCAAACACACCAGTTACGGGAACTGAATCATCGACTTTAACTGCCGCACCAACAGGCCCTTCAACAAGTACAGACGAATCATTATCAACTTCTGAAACAAAAAGTCCTATTAGCAGTTCTTCACCTACAACTGAGAAGACATTTTCTTCCAAAGGAACACCTGGAACAAGTTCTACCACTGGCAGTTCTGTACCTCCCACCAGTCCTTCATCAAAGTCGAGCACAATTCCATTAACGGATAATTCCTTTTCAACTACGACAAGTTCCCTTGTCGGTTCATCTTCGGGGAGTTCTGTTACGTCTGGAAGTAATGTCGGCTCTAGCACAACTGAAGCAGCGTCTACAATACACTCTATCAGTCCTGGTGTAACAACTGCTTCCATTCCTGCAGTTAACACTATGAGTGGCATAAATGCTACTAGTTCATCTCCAACTTCAACATCACATACCGGTATGAGTACAAAGGAAAGCACAGTGCACACAACATCTAGTGGAATCACTTCTACTACTAGCGAAAGTTCTTCTGTTCCAAGCAGTACAGGTGGAATCACAACTGTAGAAACGAAGCCAACAAGTGAGTCAACAAGCATCAATCCATCGACAGCGGAGGAGACAACAGTTGAAACAAGCACTGACTCAGTTCCCAGTACCGAATCAACAGTGTTTACAGAAGAAACATCCGTATCGCCGTCAATGACACCTACCACGCTATCTTCCAATACTACAAGTGAATCGTCCACAGCTACTTTGTCGACTTTGCCTATCACCGGGTCAACAGATGAAGCTTCAAGTACAACAGTTAGCAAGGGCACACCCGTTACAACGGAAACAAGCAGGACAACTGAACACGTAACATCAAACACACCAGTTACGGGAACTGAATCATCGACTTTAACTGCCGCACCAACAGGCCCTTCAACAAGTACAGACGAATCATTATCAACTTCTGAAACAAAAAGTCCTATTAGCAGTTCTTCACCTACAACTGAGAAGACATTTTCTTCCAAAGGAACACCTGGAACAAGTTCTACCACTGGCAGTTCTGTACCTCCCACCAGTCCTTCATCAAAGTCGAGCACAATTCCATTAACGGATAATTCCTTTTCAACTACGACAAGTTCCCTTGTCGGTTCATCTTCGGGGAGTTCTGTTACGTCTGGAAGTAATGTCGGCTCTAGCACAACTGAAGCAGCGTCTACAATACACTCTATCAGTCCTGGTGTAACAACTGCTTCCATTCCTGCAGTTAACACTATGAGTGGCATAAATGCTACTAGTTCATCTCCAACTTCAACATCACATACCGGTATGAGTACAAAGGAAAGCACAGTGCACACAACATCTAGTGGAATCACTTCTACTACTAGCGAAAGTTCTTCTGTTCCAAGCAGTACAGGTGGAATCACAACTGTAGAAACGAAGCCAACAAGTGAGTCAACAAGCATCAATCCATCGACAGCGGAGGAGACAACAGTTGAAACAAGCACTGACTCAGTTCCCAGTACCGAATCAACAGTGTTTACAGAAGAAACATCCGTATCGCCGTCAATGACACCTACCACGCTATCTTCCAATACTACAAGTGAATCGTCCACAGCTACTTTGTCGACTTTGCCTATCACCGGGTCAACAGATGAAGCTTCAAGTACAACAGTTAGCAAGGGCACACCCGTTACAACGGAAACAAGCAGGACAACTGAACACGTAACATCAAACACACCAGTTACGGGAACTGAATCATCGACTTTAACTGCCGCACCAACAGGCCCTTCAACAAGTACAGACGAATCATTATCAACTTCTGAAACAAAAAGTCCTATTAGCAGTTCTTCACCTACAACTGAGAAGACATTTTCTTCCAAAGGAACACCTGGAACAAGTTCTACCACTGGCAGTTCTGTACCTCCCACCAGTCCTTCATCAAAGTCGAGCACAATTCCATTAACGGATAATTCCTTTTCAACTACGACAAGTTCCCTTGTCGGTTCATCTTCGGGGAGTTCTGTTACGTCTGGAAGTAATGTCGGCTCTAGCACAACTGAAGCAGCGTCTACAATACACTCTATCAGTCCTGGTGTAACAACTGCTTCCATTCCTGCAGTTAACACTATGAGTGGCATAAATGCTACTAGTTCATCTCCAACTTCAACATCACATACCGGTATGAGTACAAAGGAAAGCACAGTGCACACAACATCTAGTGGAATCACTTCTACTACTAGCGAAAGTTCTTCTGTTCCAAGCAGTACAGGTGGAATCACAACTGTAGAAACGAAGCCAACAAGTGAGTCAACAAGCATCAATCCATCGACAGCGGAGGAGACAACAGTTGAAACAAGCACTGACTCAGTTCCCAGTACCGAATCAACAGTGTTTACAGAAGAAACATCCGTATCGCCGTCAATGACACCTACCACGCTATCTTCCAATACTACAAGTGAATCGTCCACAGCTACTTTGTCGACTTTGCCTATCACCGGGTCAACAGATGAAGCTTCAAGTACAACAGTTAGCAAGGGCACACCCGTTACAACGGAAACAAGCAGGACAACTGAACACGTAACATCAAACACACCAGTTACGGGAACTGAATCATCGACTTTAACTGCCGCACCAACAGGCCCTTCAACAAGTACAGACGAATCATTATCAACTTCTGAAACAAAAAGTCCTATTAGCAGTTCTTCACCTACAACTGAGAAGACATTTTCTTCCAAAGGAACACCTGGAACAAGTTCTACCACTGGCAGTTCTGTACCTCCCACCAGTCCTTCATCAAAGTCGAGCACAATTCCATTAACGGATAATTCCTTTTCAACTACGACAAGTTCCCTTGTCGGTTCATCTTCGGGGAGTTCTGTTACGTCTGGAAGTAATGTCGGCTCTAGCACAACTGAAGCAGCGTCTACAATACACTCTATCAGTCCTGGTGTAACAACTGCTTCCATTCCTGCAGTTAACACTATGAGTGGCATAAATGCTACTAGTTCATCTCCAACTTCAACATCACATACCGGTATGAGTACAAAGGAAAGCACAGTGCACACAACATCTAGTGGAATCACTTCTACTACTAGCGAAAGTTCTTCTGTTCCAAGCAGTACAGGTGGAATCACAACTGTAGAAACGAAGCCAACAAGTGAGTCAACAAGCATCAATCCATCGACAGCGGAGGAGACAACAGTTGAAACAAGCACTGACTCAGTTCCCAGTACCGAATCAACAGTGTTTACAGAGAAGAAACATCCGTATCGCCGTCAATGACACCTACCACGCTATCTTCCAATACTACAAGTGAATCGTCCACAGCTACTTTGTCGACTTTGCCTATCACCGGGTCAACAGATGAAGCTTCAAGTACAACAGTTAGCAAGGGCACACCCGTTACAACGGAAACAAGCAGGACAACTGAACACGTAACATCAAACACACCAGTTACGGGAACTGAATCATCGACTTTAACTGCCGCACCAACAGGCCCTTCAACAAGTACAGACGAATCATTATCAACTTCTGAAACAAAAAGTCCTATTAGCAGTTCTTCACCTACAACTGAGAAGACATTTTCTTCCAAAGGAACACCTGGAACAAGTTCTACCACTGGCAGTTCTGTACCTCCCACCAGTCCTTCATCAAAGTCGAGCACAATTCCATTAACGGATAATTCCTTTTCAACTACGACAAGTTCCCTTGTCGGTTCATCTTCGGGGAGTTCTGTTACGTCTGGAAGTAATGTCGGCTCTAGCACAACTGAAGCAGCGTCTACAATACACTCTATCAGTCCTGGTGTAACAACTGCTTCCATTCCTGCAGTTAACACTATGAGTGGCATAAATGCTACTAGTTCATCTCCAACTTCAACATCACATACCGGTATGAGTACAAAGGAAAGCACAGTGCACACAACATCTAGTGGAATCACTTCTACTACTAGCGAAAGTTCTTCTGTTCCAAGCAGTACAGGTGGAATCACAACTGTAGAAACGAAGCCAACAAGTGAGTCAACAAGCATCAATCCATCGACAGCGGAGGAGACAACAGTTGAAACAAGCACTGACTCAGTTCCCAGTACCGAATCAACAGTGTTTACAGAAGAAACATCCGTATCGCCGTCAATGACACCTACCACGCTATCTTCCAATACTACAAGTGAATCGTCCACAGCTACTTTGTCGACTTTGCCTATCACCGGGTCAACAGATGAAGCTTCAAGTACAACAGTTAGCAAGGGCACACCCGTTACAACGGAAACAAGCAGGACAACTGAACACGTAACATCAAACACACCAGTTACGGGAACTGAATCATCGACTTTAACTGCCGCACCAACAGGCCCTTCAACAAGTACAGACGAATCATTATCAACTTCTGAAACAAAAAGTCCTATTAGCAGTTCTTCACCTACAACTGAGAAGACATTTTCTTCCAAAGGAACACCTGGAACAAGTTCTACCACTGGCAGTTCTGTACCTCCCACCAGTCCTTCATCAAAGTCGAGCACAATTCCATTAACGGATAATTCCTTTTCAACTACGACAAGTTCCCTTGTCGGTTCATCTTCGGGGAGTTCTGTTACGTCTGGAAGTAATGTCGGCTCTAGCACAACTGAAGCAGCGTCTACAATACACTCTATCAGTCCTGGTGTAACAACTGCTTCCATTCCTGCAGTTAACACTATGAGTGGCATAAATGCTACTAGTTCATCTCCAACTTCAACATCACATACCGGTATGAGTACAAAGGAAAGCACAGTGCACACAACATCTAGTGGAATCACTTCTACTACTAGCGAAAGTTCTTCTGTTCCAAGCAGTACAGGTGGAATCACAACTGTAGAAACGAAGCCAACAAGTGAGTCAACAAGCATCAATCCATCGACAGCGGAGGAGACAACAGTTGAAACAAGCACTGACTCAGTTCCCAGTACCGAATCAACAGTGTTTACAGAAGAAACATCCGTATCGCCGTCAATGACACCTACCACGCTATCTTCCAATACTACAAGTGAATCGTCCACAGCTACTTTGTCGACTTTGCCTATCACCGGGTCAACAGATGAAGCTTCAAGTACAACAGTTAGCAAGGGCACACCCGTTACAACGGAAACAAGCAGGACAACTGAACACGTAACATCAAACACACCAGTTACGGGAACTGAATCATCGACTTTAACTGCCGCACCAACAGGCCCTTCAACAAGTACAGACGAATCATTATCAACTTCTGAAACAAAAAGTCCTATTAGCAGTTCTTCACCTACAACTGAGAAGACATTTTCTTCCAAAGGAACACCTGGAACAAGTTCTACCACTGGCAGTTCTGTACCTCCCACCAGTCCTTCATCAAAGTCGAGCACAATTCCATTAACGGATAATTCCTTTTCAACTACGACAAGTTCCCTTGTCGGTTCATCTTCGGGGAGTTCTGTTACGTCTGGAAGTAATGTCGGCTCTAGCACAACTGAAGCAGCGTCTACAATACACTCTATCAGTCCTGGTGTAACAACTGCTTCCATTCCTGCAGTTAACACTATGAGTGGCATAAATGCTACTAGTTCATCTCCAACTTCAACATCACATACCGGTATGAGTACAAAGGAAAGCACAGTGCACACAACATCTAGTGGAATCACTTCTACTACTAGCGAAAGTTCTTCTGTTCCAAGCAGTACAGGTGGAATCACAACTGTAGAAACGAAGCCAACAAGTGAGTCAACAAGCATCAATCCATCGACAGCGGAGGAGACAACAGTTGAAACAAGCACTGACTCAGTTCCCAGTACCGAATCAACAGTGTTTACAGAAGAAACATCCGTATCGCCGTCAATGACACCTACCACGCTATCTTCCAATACTACAAGTGAATCGTCCACAGCTACTTTGTCGACTTTGCCTATCACCGGGTCAACAGATGAAGCTTCAAGTACAACAGTTAGCAAGGGCACACCCGTTACAACGGAAACAAGCAGGACAACTGAACACGTAACATCAAACACACCAGTTACGGGAACTGAATCATCGACTTTAACTGCCGCACCAACAGGCCCTTCAACAAGTACAGACGAATCATTATCAACTTCTGAAACAAAAAGTCCTATTAGCAGTTCTTCACCTACAACTGAGAAGACATTTTCTTCCAAAGGAACACCTGGAACAAGTTCTACCACTGGCAGTTCTGTACCTCCCACCAGTCCTTCATCAAAGTCGAGCACAATTCCATTAACGGATAATTCCTTTTCAACTACGACAAGTTCCCTTGTCGGTTCATCTTCGGGGAGTTCTGTTACGTCTGGAAGTAATGTCGGCTCTAGCACAACTGAAGCAGCGTCTACAATACACTCTATCAGTCCTGGTGTAACAACTGCTTCCATTCCTGCAGTTAACACTATGAGTGGCATAAATGCTACTAGTTCATCTCCAACTTCAACATCACATACCGGTATGAGTACAAAGGAAAGCACAGTGCACACAACATCTAGTGGAATCACTTCTACTACTAGCGAAAGTTCTTCTGTTCCAAGCAGTACAGGTGGAATCACAACTGTAGAAACGAAGCCAACAAGTGAGTCAACAAGCATCAATCCATCGACAGCGGAGGAGACAACAGTTGAAACAAGCACTGACTCAGTTCCCAGTACCGAATCAACAGTGTTTACAGAAGAAACATCCGTATCGCCGTCAATGACACCTACCACGCTATCTTCCAATACTACAAGTGAATCGTCCACAGCTACTTTGTCGACTTTGCCTATCACCGGGTCAACAGATGAAGCTTCAAGTACAACAGTTAGCAAGGGCACACCCGTTACAACGGAAACAAGCAGGACAACTGAACACGTAACATCAAACACACCAGTTACGGGAACTGAATCATCGACTTTAACTGCCGCACCAACAGGCCCTTCAACAAGTACAGACGAATCATTATCAACTTCTGAAACAAAAAGTCCTATTAGCAGTTCTTCACCTACAACTGAGAAGACATTTTCTTCCAAAGGAACACCTGGAACAAGTTCTACCACTGGCAGTTCTGTACCTCCCACCAGTCCTTCATCAAAGTCGAGCACAATTCCATTAACGGATAATTCCTTTTCAACTACGACAAGTTCCCTTGTCGGTTCATCTTCGGGGAGTTCTGTTACGTCTGGAAGTAATGTCGGCTCTAGCACAACTGAAGCAGCGTCTACAATACACTCTATCAGTCCTGGTGTAACAACTGCTTCCATTCCTGCAGTTAACACTATGAGTGGCATAAATGCTACTAGTTCATCTCCAACTTCAACATCACATACCGGTATGAGTACAAAGGAAAGCACAGTGCACACAACATCTAGTGGAATCACTTCTACTACTAGCGAAAGTTCTTCTGTTCCAAGCAGTACAGGTGGAATCACAACTGTAGAAACGAAGCCAACAAGTGAGTCAACAAGCATCAATCCATCGACAGCGGAGGAGACAACAGTTGAAACAAGCACTGACTCAGTTCCCAGTACCGAATCAACAGTGTTTACAGAAGAAACATCCGTATCGCCGTCAATGACACCTACCACGCTATCTTCCAATACTACAAGTGAATCGTCCACAGCTACTTTGTCGACTTTGCCTATCACCGGGTCAACAGATGAAGCTTCAAGTACAACAGTTAGCAAGGGCACACCCGTTACAACGGAAACAAGCAGGACAACTGAACACGTAACATCAAACACACCAGTTACGGGAACTGAATCATCGACTTTAACTGCCGCACCAACAGGCCCTTCAACAAGTACAGACGAATCATTATCAACTTCTGAAACAAAAAGTCCTATTAGCAGTTCTTCACCTACAACTGAGAAGACATTTTCTTCCAAAGGAACACCTGGAACAAGTTCTACCACTGGCAGTTCTGTACCTCCCACCAGTCCTTCATCAAAGTCGAGCACAATTCCATTAACGGATAATTCCTTTTCAACTACGACAAGTTCCCTTGTCGGTTCATCTTCGGGGAGTTCTGTTACGTCTGGAAGTAATGTCGGCTCTAGCACAACTGAAGCAGCGTCTACAATACACTCTATCAGTCCTGGTGTAACAACTGCTTCCATTCCTGCAGTTAACACTATGAGTGGCATAAATGCTACTAGTTCATCTCCAACTTCAACATCACATACCGGTATGAGTACAAAGGAAAGCACAGTGCACACAACATCTAGTGGAATCACTTCTACTACTAGCGAAAGTTCTTCTGTTCCAAGCAGTACAGGTGGAATCACAACTGTAGAAACGAAGCCAACAAGTGAGTCAACAAGCATCAATCCATCGACAGCGGAGGAGACAACAGTTGAAACAAGCACTGACTCAGTTCCCAGTACCGAATCAACAGTGTTTACAGAAGAAACATCCGTATCGCCGTCAATGACACCTACCACGCTATCTTCCAATACTACAAGTGAATCGTCCACAGCTACTTTGTCGACTTTGCCTATCACCGGGTCAACAGATGAAGCTTCAAGTACAACAGTTAGCAAGGGCACACCCGTTACAACGGAAACAAGCAGGACAACTGAACACGTAACATCAAACACACCAGTTACGGGAACTGAATCATCGACTTTAACTGCCGCACCAACAGGCCCTTCAACAAGTACAGACGAATCATTATCAACTTCTGAAACAAAAAGTCCTATTAGCAGTTCTTCACCTACAACTGAGAAGACATTTTCTTCCAAAGGAACACCTGGAACAAGTTCTACCACTGGCAGTTCTGTACCTCCCACCAGTCCTTCATCAAAGTCGAGCACAATTCCATTAACGGATAATTCCTTTTCAACTACGACAAGTTCCCTTGTCGGTTCATCTTCGGGGAGTTCTGTTACGTCTGGAAGTAATGTCGGCTCTAGCACAACTGAAGCAGCGTCTACAATACACTCTATCAGTCCTGGTGTAACAACTGCTTCCATTCCTGCAGTTAACACTATGAGTGGCATAAATGCTACTAGTTCATCTCCAACTTCAACATCACATACCGGTATGAGTACAAAGGAAAGCACAGTGCACACAACATCTAGTGGAATCACTTCTACTACTAGCGAAAGTTCTTCTGTTCCAAGCAGTACAGGTGGAATCACAACTGTAGAAACGAAGCCAACAAGTGAGTCAACAAGCATCAATCCATCGACAGCGGAGGAGACAACAGTTGAAACAAGCACTGACTCAGTTCCCAGTACCGAATCAACAGTGTTTACAGAGGAAACATCCGTATCGCCGTCAATGACACCTACCACGCTATCTTCCAATACTACAAGTGAATCGTCCACAGCTACTTTGTCGACTTTGCCTATCACCGGGTCAACAGATGAAGCTTCAAGTACAACAGTTAGCAAGGGCACACCCGTTACAACGGAAACAAGCAGGACAACTGAACACGTAACATCAAACACACCAGTTACGGGAACTGAATCATCGACTTTAACTGCCGCACCAACAGGCCCTTCAACAAGTACAGACGAATCATTATCAACTTCTGAAACAAAAAGTCCTATTAGCAGTTATTCACCTACAACTGAGAAGACATTTTCTTCCAAAGGAACACCTGGAACAAGTTCTACCACTGGCAGTTCTGTACCTCCCACCAGTCCTTCATCAAAGTCGAGCACAATTCCATTAACGGATAATTCCTTTTCAACTACGACAAGTTCCCTTGTCGGTTCATCTTCGGGGAGTTCTGTTACGTCTGGAAGTAATGTCGGCTCTAGCACAACTGAAGCAGCGTCTACAATACACTCTATCAGTCCTGGTGTAACAACTGCTTCCATTCCTGCAGTTAACACTATGAGTGGCATAAATGCTACTAGTTCATCTCCAACTTCAACATCACATACCGGTATGAGTACAAAGGAAAGCACAGTGCACACAACATCTAGTGGAATCACTTCTACTACTAGCGAAAGTTCTTCTGTTCCAAGCAGTACAGGTGGAATCACAACTGTAGAAACGAAGCCAACAAGTGAGTCAACAAGCATCAATCCATCGACAGCGGAGGAGACAACAGTTGAAACAAGCACTGACTCAGTTCCCAGTACCGAATCAACAGTGTTTACAGAAGAAACATCCGTATCGCCGTCAATGACACCTACCACGCTATCTTCCAATACTACAAGTGAATCGTCCACAGCTACTTTGTCGACTTTGCCTATCACCGGGTCAACAGATGAAGCTTCAAGTACAACAGTTAGCAAGGGCACACCCGTTACAACGGAAACAAGCAGGACAACTGAACACGTAACATCAAACACACCAGTTACGGGAACTGAATCATCGACTTTAACTGCCGCACCAACAGGCCCTTCAACAAGTACAGACGAATCATTATCAACTTCTGAAACAAAAAGTCCTATTAGCAGTTCTTCACCTACAACTGAGAAGACATTTTCTTCCAAAGGAACACCTGGAACAAGTTCTACCACTGGCAGTTCTGTACCTCCCACCAGTCCTTCATCAAAGTCGAGCACAATTCCATTAACGGATAATTCCTTTTCAACTACGACAAGTTCCCTTGTCGGTTCATCTTCGGGGAGTTCTGTTACGTCTGGAAGTAATGTCGGCTCTAGCACAACTGAAGCAGCGTCTACAATACACTCTATCAGTCCTGGTGTAACAACTGCTTCCATTCCTGCAGTTAACACTATGAGTGGCATAAATGCTACTAGTTCATCTCCAACTTCAACATCACATACCGGTATGAGTACAAAGGAAAGCACAGTGCACACAACATCTAGTGGAATCACTTCTACTACTAGCGAAAGTTCTTCTGTTCCAAGCAGTACAGGTGGAATCACAACTGTAGAAACGAAGCCAACAAGTGAGTCAACAAGCATCAATCCATCGACAGCGGAGGAGACGACAGTTGAAACAAGCACTGATACATTGTTCAGTCCTCCGTCCACAACCTCAAGAGTTCATCACACAAGTTATGGTACGATCGGTATTTAAGTAGCCATATGTCGCTTGCTTGAATTTGAAATAGTAGAGTTGCTTTTGATAGATATGCCGATGGTATGTTTTTTTCAGGATTAGGTCTCACTTTGTTGCGTTTTGTTTACATCTATCCACGCAGTTGTGAGATGTAATACATGTTTATCGAACTTGTGAAAAACATTTGAGTTCTGAGATGAATTGTCTAATAACTGCAGTCTAAGTGATACACGTATTCACCGTCATACACATCCACCTAAAGCAAGTAAAATATCTGTACAAATCTGATGAAACATCATCAATTTTAAAATTACATTACAAGGTTCGACAACATAGATGTTGATCAGATGTATCATTTTCAGACAGATGTATGTGTTGTCGTCCAGATTTAAAAGTACACGCAGTGTATGAGAAAGGCTTTGCACTGTTTTAAGCCAGTGTTAATACATATTTCATCATGTATATGTAGTAGAGTAGTTTTGTGGTAGTGAAATCAACAGAAAACTGCAAGTTTTGCACTTAGTTTGAAGCCAGTAGTTGTCACTAAGTTTTAAATTAAGACTTTATTAAATTTGCCGTACCAGTCAAAACCAAAGGAAATTTGGAACTTTCCTTTATGAATGGGGATTTTTCCAGTGATCCTGTGTAGATAGTCTAAAACGTTTTAATTAGTACAGAAGTTCCAAGATATATATAAACATTTACAGCTTAGATCTCTTAATTCTTAAATACATAGGACTGAAGAGAAACAACATTACTGAAATACAGACGGGGCATTCACCAAATATTTTTTAATGTCTACGCATGTAAATAATAGTTTAAATTTATTTTATTACGTACACATGTTGTTCGGTGTAGCTAAATCATAATTTGTCTGGTAAGCTTAATTAAGGGAAATATGATGCAAATCTAACATTGTACGAAATCAAAATACTGTATACCATGAGGATATTGCATAGCGTCACCATAACTAATGACGTAACAACAGGGTATGTATTACGATATATGACGTAACAATAGTAATGATTAACAGTGTAAACAATGTATGTTGTTACAACAATGTATAGCGCTAAACAATGTTTCAGGTTACAGCAATTTATATGGATAAACAGTGTATAGTATGACAACAATGTACGTTTTGTATACAGCTTAACAATGTATGGTGTGATAACAGTGTATACAGCTTAACAATGTATTATCTTGCACATTGGTGTATAACGACACAGCAAGTATAACCCGCTTTGCACAATATTGGATCTAACGCGATGTACTGCTTTGATGTTTATAATTTCCTCGTTAAAAGTAACGCCCTCTTACTGTCAGTAATACCTATACATGAGAGACGCATGTAAAATCATTTTCCAATTATCTTCTCTTTTTTTTGTTTGTTTGGTTGTTTATTTTTTATTTCTTTTCTTTTTATATTCCCGAACAAATTTAAATAGCTGTCCATATACAAATCGATGCATACGTTGGATTTAAGAAATCGATTAATTGATGGGAGTTATGAAATCTCCTCTTACAATTTAAAAGATGAACGATTGCCATGGGCCAATGTTTAATTCTATGGGCAATCCATTTATCGTTATGTATAGTCTATGTGGTAATATCCGAGATGAAATGACGGATATATAATCTTCTTTAGGAATATGTAAAAAAAAAAAGCACGTTTTCTAGAATCTTACATGGTGTTTTTCTTTCTTTTTGTGTCTAGCAAAAACAGACTCTACAGATAGCAGTGCTTCAAGTTCTTCCGTAACGTCATCTAGCGTTACAACAGACGTGACATCAGATATTCCAACTCCAACTTCCGGTACGTTGTCGTTAACCACTTGCTGAAAATTAACATAATACTTTAGGGATTGTGATTATTCAAAAATAACTTTTACAAAGAAAAAGTCTTGTGTAGCATCGTAAAAATATAAATGTTATGCGATCTAAACATTTAGTGGCAATTGAAATTTTGTAAGCGGTGTCATCAGCCTCGTTTGACAAGAAAATTCATTCGTAAATGCAATTGTGTTTCAAGCTATCTTGTTTTCGAGGTCAGTTCATCATCCATAATCCATCATTACGGTCAACGAATCCTTCGCTATTCCAACCTGAACGGATCAGAAATACAACGTCATATAATCCTATATTAGAACATCTTCCCTTTTGCGTTTTTTCCCCTTTTGTTTTGTTTTGAAAGTAATGCTTGGAAAAAAAATTAACTGTAGTTTGATAATCAAATTACCAGATATTCAATACGATAAAAATGTCTCTAGGTGTAATCACAGCCTTATCAGTGTGTAATTGGTCATACTTGGTAACCTTTCATTCTGTTCGTTTCACATGTTTCAGTACCATGGTTGTTTTCGACCATTATTCTGGTACAGAAACATACAAAAGAAACGAGATGATTTTTTTTTCATGCTTTTGAAACATTTTGTACCAACAATGATGCACAAAAATGTGAATTTTTACATCTTTTTTGTGCCATACAAAATTGTAGCATGATACATGATGATGTGAAAATTTCATAACATTTTGTCAGGCTCTTGCGGGCCATCGTACTTTTCGTGGAAATCTTTCACGAGGAAAACTTCTAATTAGTGCGACTTGTGTTTGCAGTGCTATCGACCGATGTATTTACCATAGTACTGAATAAAACAGATGATGGCACGTCTGTGGAAATCCCAGTCAGCGTAAACATCCCAGTGTACGGGAACAAGTACAAACAGATCCATGTAAGTAGACTTGTACCTGTACAAACAGATCCATGTAAGTAGATTTGTACCTGAATCTGTACAAACAGATCCATTTAAGTAGACTTGTACCTGTACAAACAGACCCATGTAAGTAGACTTGTAAGTGTACAAACAGATCCATGTAAGTACACTTGTACCTGTACAAACAGACCCATGTAAGTAGACTTGTAAGTGTACAAACAGATCCATGTAAGTAGACTTGTACCTGTACAAACAGACCCATGTAAGTAGACTTGTACCTGTACCTGTACAAACAGACCCATGTAAGTAGACTTGTAAGTGTACAAACAGATCCATGTAAGTAGACTTGTACCTGTACCTGTACAAACAGATCCATGTAAGTAGACTTGTACCTGTTTAAACAGATCCATGTAAGTAGACTTGTACCTGTACAAACAGATCCATGTAAGTAGACTTGTACCTGTTTAAACAGATCCATGTAAGTAGACTTGTACCTGTACCTGTACAAACAGATCCATGTAAGTAGACTTGTACCTGTACCTGTACAAACAGACCCATGTAAGTAGAATTGTAAGTGTACAAACAGATCCATGTAAGTAGACTTGTACCTGTACCTGTACAAACAGATCCATGTAAGTAGACTTGTACCTGTACAAACAGATCCATGTAAGTAGACTTGTACCTGTTTAAACAGATCCATTTAAGTAGACTTGTAAGTGTACAAACAGATCCATGTAAGTAGACTTGTACCTGTACCTGTACAAACAGATCCATGTAAGGAGACTTGTACCTGTACAAACAGATCCATGTTAGTAGACTTGTACCTGTACAAACAGATCCATGTTAGTAGACTTGTACCTGTACAAACAGATCCATCTAAGTTGACTTGTACCTGTACAAACAGATCCATGTAAGTAGACTTGTACCTGTACAAACAGATCCATGTTAGTAGACTTGTACCTGTACCTATACAAACAGTTATAAGTATAATTGATGATAAAACGTCTGTTTGCATCATTCCATATTGTAGAGATTATCTTTGTACCTGCTGGTATATCTTCATGGCAGTCTACAATAACATGACATTCAACACTGGAATATATACCGTCTTTTTAAGGCTGATCTTAAATTCCAAGGAATGGGCTTGAATTTGATGAAGCACTAGGTTATTGGTTTTGTAAAATTGGAGATATTTATGCCTCTGGAGAGTTGAAATGTTAAGCGCATGAATCGTATAAAAGACTTATCGATAAATTGACTTCACAGGGGACAGTGTTTGCGTCGAACCGTACTCAGAAGAATGAAAATTATATAGTACTATCACACCGAAATGTCATAATATGGATACGAAGTATGTCACTATATTCTTTCTCTACTGTTACGTTTCTGAGAAAAAACCGAAACACTGAAGATATAAATTACGCTTAATGCTCGGACTGTTATATAAGGAAAATAAATGAACTGTTTTAAAATGGTGGAGCTTGGAATGACATTATAAAATTATGTTGCACTGAATATGGGTATACCAGCCTTAAGTTGAATTGCTGTTGACGAGAGTGTTGAGATTAATAGAGATAGACATCCGTATGCAATTTTTGGGGGACTTTTATATCAAAAGATTTATACTCACAGGTTAGCGTCAACGGACTTGTTTCCCTTGGTAACAACACGATAGGATACAATCCCCGTCCCCTGCCACTTGGAAATAACGACACAGTTACATTGGCACCATTCTGGACTGACTTGGACATTAGGAACACAACAGATTCTTCCGTGTTCGCTACCGTATATATGAACGCCAACAACAACACGAACATCACACGGGAATGGCGCCCCTTCTTGGAACCTGACTTCAACCCAACATGGGTGATGGATGTACACTGGGAACGAGTGTCTCCGCATCCAGTGGAAATTTACCACGGGAAAGAAGTGAGTATTGAGAAAAGCGATGTTATGTTATCTATATTGCCGATATTTATATTTGAACGACAGTGCTAAAGTACAAGTACGATTTTAAAAATGTCATACCGTAGTAGGCACAGTGACGGCTCACACTGAAAATGGCCGTTCATTTGACAGATTACATTGTCGATAATGACTTGTCTATTTTTAGTTTCTAAAACACTTCATAGGCATAAGACAACATGTAAATATTAACACAGAATAGGTTATTTGCCTGTAAAGCTTTATTTTTCGGTCATAAACGAAATTACAAGACAGTTTTGTACCTTATTTCATATATCGACTGATTTATAAAATCATATTTTATACGTGTGAACTAGTAGAATGGATACCGTCAACTGAACTTAATTGCTGATAATATATTTTCATGTACATGTACAACAAATGTTTTTATTATCATAACACACTGAAAAACAAAGAGAATAAAACAATGATGGTTCATATTTAGGTAGAAATTTGTATTATCTTATCGCCGTTAAAATCACAAATGTGTACAGACTATAAGGATGATTGTGCAGAAAAATCAAGAGAAGTGTTTTGCCAATTAAATCAGTTACATGATGTATTTCACACTGTAGATGTGATGTCTTGTAAAAACTTGTAAAACATTTGAGAACCATATCGCTTATTTAGCTGGACGAGGTAGAGTGTAAGAGTATAACATCCTGCGCAGTAATTGAGGATGTTGTATATTCCAGAATACAACTTTCCGATTAGTCCTGTTCTCTGATGGAGATCGGACCCAAGTCGCATTCGAATACGACAAGAACAATCCCCTACCTTACAGTCTGGCCAGATCACCTGTTATAGGCCTCGATTTCGGCTCGGACGGGTACAACACGTTCTTCAGTGGAACCGGGACACCGAACGCCGTGGACGTGTCCAATGCTCTAGGAAACATAGGTAAAATACCTGAATTTCTTAGACATGGCTTACTCACATTTTCATTGAAAAGTAATCATGTAAATACAACACACGCCACAATTGGCAATTCCCAATGCACAGGTAGTTGCATGGCTTCTGATATCATTATTAAGATAATATCATTTCTAGGATTAACAATGAAAGTTTTGAATTTGATGTGACAATACCTTTCTGGTACAAATAGATATGTTTGTGGTTCCGGTAGCTGTTGCCGTCCAAAAAAAGTACCCTAGTTATGCAGAGTGATTAGATCATAACGTATAGTTTTGTTTCAGGACGAATTGGTAAATGGCTGTTCAGTCTATATAATGAATCCACTGTGAGTCACGCCACTGCCACCTGTCGTGATTGGTTGGTTCAGGAATCACGTGATAGCCTGACTGGTCCTTTTCCGGCATGTCCATGTTCGACCTCTCAGATATTTGCAGACCCAAAGTTTTATTTTGATAATGAGACGTTCTGTGCTGACCTCATAACACCAACAAAAAATGGACACGGACTGGTAAATCATTGTTTTTTAATATTACAAGTCAATCACATGTATATTTAATATGTGGATAATCTTAACGAACAGGGTATATATATATAATATTCATACAAATTAATTAGAGCTGGAATTAACAACAAAACAAGAGAGACGATTTACAAGGTAGAAGTCATCCCCAGACTCGAGTAAGGTGCTACATCTCTTATTCATTAGTTTGTCGTTATGTTAACCTTCCTCAACATAAATCAGATTTTGTGGTAAAACTCATGAAGATGTATATAAGGATACTATAGCAATAGTGATTTTCCCTTTTTCGTCATGTTCGCGGATGAAAAATGTATACATGTACGTATATCTTAGAATTAAAAAACATTAAAAACATCCTGTTTGCTCCAAGGTATCAAAAACATACCTTCACCGTATCTTCTCTAATGACGTAAGCTGTGTTGATATACAAATATGTATGTGTACAAATCTCATTCCCTACTGTTTATCTTGCTCAGCACTGCTGCTACAATCCCACCGACACCCCTGTCAGAGGCTCGTTACTGAGAGGAACACGCGGTCCGAGTGTCTTCTACAGGTTCCACCAACAGAGATTTCCCGCCCTACATCAGTCACGTGATATAGATGCACGTGATGCATGCTGTACGGATGATAGGACGTGTCAAGAGTATTACTCCCGGCGTGTCGTTCCCTCGTGTTCAAACTATCAACCGCCTGTGATTGGTAAGCTTTGCAATGAAATTAGTGAATAGATAGATAAATGAGTGATTTTACATAATTTTTCCTTATGTTGAGAACTGCACTTTATTAATAGTAGGATGTATATATAGCTTGGTCGATTTGACCAGCTGTTTAACAGTCGGTATAACATTGAAGTTTATGTTACAGCTGTAGCCTTCGGATCCCCCAATATACAAACGTTTGATGGATTAGAATACACGTTTAGTGGAAATGGAGAATACTTGATGGCACAAACAGACACTGGATCAGTTCTACAGGGCCAAATGGAGCCCATTTGGACAAAGGGAGATCCAACGCAGCCCAACAACAACCTGACAGTTTTCACATCTTTCAGTTTCGTTGGTGCCGCCAACGTAACTGTGTCACAGGACGACAAACGGACAGGTAACTTTCATTCTCGTAAACATCACAAACCACAAATTGACAGGTGAATAACATACTCGTCAACATCACAAACCACAAATTGACAGGTGAATAGCATACTCGTCAACATCACAAACCACAAACAAACTGACAGGTGAATAACATACTCGTCAACATCACAAACCACAAACAAACAGACAGGTGAATAACATACTCGTCAACATCACAAACCACAAACAAACAGACAGGTGAATAACATACTCGTCAACATCACAAACCACAAACAAACAGACAGGTGAATAGCATACTCGTCAACATCACAAACCACAAACAAACTGACAGGTGAATAACATACTCGTCAACATCACAAACCACAAACAAACAGACAGGTGAATAACATACTCGTCAACATCACAAACCACAAACAAACAGACAGGCGAATAACATACTCGTCAACATCACAAACCACAAACAAACAGACAGGTGAATAACATACTCGTCAACATCACAAACCACAAACAAACTGACAGGTGAATAGCATACTCGTCAACATCACAAACCACAAACAAACAGACAGGCGAATAACATACTCGTCAACATCACAAACCACAAACAAACAGACAGGCGAATAACATACTCGTCAACATCACAAACCACAAACAAACAGACAGGTAACTTTCATTCTCGTAAACATCACAAACCACAAACAAACAGACAGGTGAATAGCATACTCGTCAACATCACAAACCACAAACAAACAGACAGGTAACTTTTATTCTCGTAAACATCACAAACCACAAACAAACAGACAGGTGAATAGCATACTCGTCAACATCACAAACCACAAACAGACAGGTGAATAACATACTCGTCAACATCACAAACCACAAACAAACAGACAGGCGAATAACATACTCGTCAACATCACAAACCACAAACAAACAGACAGGCGAATAACATACTCGTCAACATCACAAACCACAAACAAACTGACAGGCGAATAACATACTCGTCAACATCACAAACCACAAACAAACAGACAGGCGAATAACATACTCGTCAACATCACAAACCACAAACAAACTGACAGGTAAATAACATACTCGTCAACATCACAAACCACAAACAAACTGACAGGTGAATAACATACTCGTCAACATCACAAACCACAAACAAACAGACAGGTGAATAACATACTCGTCAACATCACAAACCACAAACAAACTGACAGGTGAATAACTTACTCGTCAACATCACAAACCACAAACAAACAGACAGGTGAATAACATACTCGTCAACATCACAAACCACAAACAAACAGACAGGTGAATAACATACTCGTCAACATCACAAACCACAAACAAACAGACAGGTGAATAACATACTCGTCAACATCACAAACCACAAACAGACAGGTGAATAACATACTCGTCAACATCACAAACCACAAACAAACAGACAGGTGAATAACATACTCGTCAACATCACAAACCACAAACAAACAGACAGGTGAATAACATACTCGTCAACATCACAAACCACAAACAAACAGACAGGTGAATAGCATACTCGTCAACATCACAAACCACAAACAAACTGACAGGCGAATAACATCTTTAACATCATAAACAACAAATGGACAGGTAAATATCATACCTGTTAACATCACAAATTGATATACACGTAACAACACAAACATCAAATGGACAGGTAAATATCATACCTGTTAACATCACAAATTGATATACCCGTAACAACACCAACAACATATGGACGGGTAAATATCATACCTGTTAACATCACAACTTGATATACACGTAACAACACCAACAACAAATGGACAGGTAAATATCATACCTGTTAACATCACAAATTGATATACACGTAACAACACCAACAACAAATGGACAGGTAAATATCATACCTGTTAACATCACAAATTGATATACCCGTAACAACACAAACAACAAATGGACAGGTAAATATCATACCTGTTAACATCACAAATTGATATACACGTAACAACACCAACAACAAATGGACAGGTAAATATCATACCTGTTAACATCACAAATTGATATACCCGTAACAACACCAACAACAAAAGGACAGGTAAATATCATACCTGTTAACATCACAAATTGATATACACGTAACAACACCAACAACAAATGGACAGGTAAATATCATACCTGTTAACATCACAAATTGATATACCCGTAACAACACCAACAACAAAAGGACAGGTAAATATCATACCTGTTAACATCACAAATTGATATACCCGTAACAACACAAACATCAAATGGACAGGTAAATATCATACCTGTTAACATCACAAATTGATATACCCGTAACAACACAAACATCAAATGGACAGGTAAATATCATACCTGTTAACATCACAAATTGATCTACACGTAACAACACCAACAACAAATGGACAGGTAAATATCATACCTGTTAACATCACAAATTGATATACCCGTAACAACACCAACAACAAATGGACAGGTAAATATCATACCTGTTAACATCACAAATTGATATACCCGTAACAACACCAACAACAAAAGGACAGGTAAATATCATACCTGTTAACATCACAAATTGATATACCCGTAACAACACAAACATCAAATGGACAGGTAAATATCATACCTGTTAACATCACAAATTGATATACCCGTAACAACACAAACATCAAATGGACTGGTAAATATCATACCTGTTAACATCACAAATTGATTTACACGTAACAACACCAACAACAAATGGACTGGTAAATATCATACCTGTTAACATCACAACTTGATATACACGTAACAACACCAACAACAAATGGACAGGTAAATATTATACCTGTTAACATCACAAATTGATATACACGTAACAACACAAACATCAAAGGGACAGGTAAATATCATACCTGTTAACATCACAAATTGATATACACGTAACAACACCAACAACAAATGGACAGGTAAATATTATACCTGTTAACATCACAAATTGATATACCCGTAACAACACAAACATCAAAGGGACAGGTAAATATCATACCTGTTAACATCACAAATTGATATACACGTAACAACACCAACAACAAATGGACAGGTAAATATTATACCTGTTAACATCACAAATTGATATACCCGTAACAACACAAACATCAAAGGGACAGGTAAATATCATACCTGTTAACATCACAAATTGATATACACGTAACAACACAAATAACAAATGGACAGGTAAATATCATACCTGTTAACATCAAAAATTGATATACCCGTAACAACACAAACAACAAATGGACAGGTAAATATCCAGGTGTCAACATAAACAACTTCCTTATACTCCCTCAGCTTTATTTCAGTTTGAGTTTAAGTGCGCACATCACTCTCTCTCACGAGTATTAATAAATCATTGCTTTTCCAGGTATTAATCTTACTGTGGCTGGAGAATCACTGACGAACAGTTTTAACCGAGATCCCAAATTTCGTAAGACGTATCAAAATCTGACCGTCTACAAGAACGCGGATAACTGTGTCGTTCTTGTGGAATCACCAGGTGGGTGGCGTCCAAAATATCAATATTATGTATCCGGTTGAAAACATGAAGTCTATTTTAAGAGAAACATGGCTATTGTCAATGATATAAAATAAAACTGTAATTTTATATTTCAAAAGATTTTTCGACAACATTCTGTGAAACGGGAGGGTCCATTTCAACGGTTGTTGTCACTCCTCCCGGGATTGTTAAGAACACTAAAGGATTACTTGGAACAGCCAACACCAACATATCCGATGACCTAAGCATGCGCGGTAAAACGAACAAGCCACTTCCGTTTAATTCTACCGACAGGGAAATCTACACACAGATGATGAGTTGTAAGTTCTTGTTAAACAATAGATTCGGTATCAGTATTGTCGTAAAACTATTTTTGGAGGAAGATGTAATCACACAACACTATGCATATGTATAATTATCTATTAAAGACATAAACAAGATTTATTTGTATGATCAGTGTGCTCTTCTGAACTTAACTGCAAAGTATAAAAAAATCTTATCATCTGGGGTTGAAAAATATATTCCTTAATCTCATTGCTGGACGAGGAAAAGAAATCTGAATAAACAGAGACAAAATTTGAATAGCTATATATATATATATATATTAGAAATATCCCTTTTCCATTGTTTGCTATGTTGAATTAGTAAAAATTATTTTTCTTTTTTTTCTATGTATAAAGTTCCCTACTTCTGAACTAGAATATTCAGAGCCATGTCACTCGTACTGAGATGTTGACGATATTTTGTTCTCTCAATATAGGGGAAGTTTCGCCTGATAACAACTCTTCTTTGTCTCAAAACTGGTCAGTAAACGCAACTGATGTCGCTCCTTTTTTCCTGGACGAAAAGTACCCTGGCGTTTATCAGGACATGAACTCCACCGATTACATTGCTTGTGCACTGGCCAATACAGTGGTGTCTAAAGCCTGTCTGTACACCAGACTTGCTCTCAAGGATAGAACGGCTGCAAATCAAACCTTGATGGCAGCAGGCGCCATCTTGAACCAAAAGCAAATATTGCGTAAGACACATTTTTTTTTATATCACCCTTTTGATTTCATCAGACATATATAAAATTTTAAGACAGTCATTATTTAGTTGGATCTATAATTTCATATTGAAAACGACAGTGAAAGAATAATGGTGAAAACTAATTTTAAAAAATCTAGTCACATGTTTATGATTGTAAATGATAGGTTTGATATTATTTTTAATCTCAGAAACTCGAATTCCTCCACTTGAGGCAAGTGGAAGTCGGATCGTGAACGTGACTGTTGGTAAAGAAATGTCGCTGTACTTAACGCATGCGCCAGGCGTGACTGTAAAATGTAACAGCGACTTCAACGCCACCTGCCTAGACAACGGCACCGATGTAGTATTTAAATGGACTCCTGTCTCCCTAGAGGAAGTACAACTCAGGTCAGTCTAAACAATAATCCTTTTCTTTAGGACTTTTCGGTCTTTGGCTTAAATAATTTTGTTGTTTGTGTAAAGATAATACGCTGTACTTTTGGGTTTGGTATTCTTTTGGAAAGACAAACGCTAATTTTTCATTAATATACAAACACATGTTGTTATATTGATGGGAAGAAGGGGACTTTATCAACAAACCATCAGCATCATTGACATAACTCGCCATTCCACCATATCAATCAACACATCGTCACCAACATAGCAAATGTAACCACAGCAACAAGTCATCTTCACTGTAAATACGGTCTCCGTAATATCGAAACAAGACTCACTTTACAAAGAAACACAACATAAATAGATAACAAACGCATTGCGAAACAGTCATCTGTATTTGCAATGAAATGTCATTAAAGAAAATGCCAACATGACTGGTTAATATATTTTATGATATCAAAGTTATTTATCATTTGTTGAAATATTGTTCTAGTTTCACTGGAGAAGCTGGACAGGGACTAGTGTCGGAAACTCTACAGTATGAAGTCAATCTGTGCGACTGTAGTGGACACGGTGTTTGTAGATTTGATAGACTTCTCACCCTCAAACAACCCACAGATCACTTTCGGCTGGCTTCATGTGACTGTCAGATTGGGTGGACAGGTCAGTTTCTAGAATTCAAATCGTATTCACAACCGTAGTTTCAAACATCACTGTTTATGATAACGTGTATCTCTTTGATTAACGAATCAATCCAGCAAACCACGTAGCTAAGTTCTGATGTGCTCCTAGCTAAGACTCGTTCTCATCAAATGTTGTCCGTGTTTTAAAGATTCAGAATAAGATTTTTTTTCATGTGACGAAAATACTTTGTTTGAATATATACAGTCTTTTCCATCAAACAAAGACGTCTGTTTTATCAGGATCCCACTGTGAGCTTGATTTCGATGGCTGCCTTGGAGCTCCATGTGTCAGCTGGGGTTCGAACTGCACCGACTTAACTCCAGCAGAGCAGCTCAAACAGAAGAATCCTTACAGGTGCAGCGTGTGTCCCTCTGGTTACAGGAAGATAGGGTCCGATTGTTTCGGTATGTATGACTAGCATATCAGGAGAATTAACACAGAAGTTACATACGCTATAGGTACCGTAGGAGTCTCGGGTTATAGTCTTTATTCGAAAAAAAGTAAGATTATTTATTATATACATATTGACTGCTGTGTTATTTTGCTTGTATCCGATTTCTGTTTACCGTGGTCTCATTTCAGTGTCGAGTACCACATTTCAGTGTTTCATATTTTGTTTAATGTCACAAATTTTAATTTCCTGATATCACATTTCAGTGTTTCTATGTCACATTTCTGTTTACCAGTGTCACATTTTAGTGTCCTGGAATCACATTTCTGTTTACCAGTGTCACATTTTAGTGTCCTGGAATCACATTTCAATGTCGCGATATCACATTCCAGTGTCTCAGTGTCACATTTCTGTTTACCGGTGTCATATTTCAATGTTCCGATATCACATTTCTGTTTACCAGTGCCACATTTTAGTGTCCTGGAATCACATTTCTGTTTACCGGTGTCATATTCCAGTGTCTCAGTGTCACATATCAATGTCCCGATATCACATTCCAGTGTCTTGGTGTCACATTGATTTGTACAGATCTTTGACGCATTGCAGTATATTCGTGTTACATTTCAGAGATAGACGAATGCCAAGAAAACTCGACCCTCTGCGACAATCAACCGGGTACCTGTTTGAATACTAATGGTAACTACACATGCCGCTGTGAACGTTCGACATTCTGGAACGGATCCATGTGTATTTCAAGTAAGCATACCCGTATACTTGTATGTCTTTGAATATCAGTTATAGTATTCTGAAAGATTGTACATAAGACATACAAGTGAATAGCAATATTCTAAACAAATCTAGAGTTAGATAGAGTATAGCTAGATGACGAATTAAACTGCATCATGCAGCTGTTTCGTCCTTTTAGCGATTTTGAGGATCTTAACTGTTAAATACTTGGAGGAGACCAAAGAAACCTGCAATTGGTAAAAATGGTCGACGAAAACCCAATCGAGGGTGTACTAACCCCAAAATTTTACATTTGAGAGGATTCCAAAACAATGTCATATCTTGATCTCTGCCACTTTTCAGACGAATTAACGGCATGTAGATGTCGTGAAACCCTGTGGACTTAAGTTCACCAGCAGTGTATATCGTTGCATTATCGTACGATTTCTTTTCAATAACAATGATAAGCAAAACTATATCTATTTTCAGTTCCAGAAACAACCGCCCCAGAATTCACCACCGCACGCGCACCAGGTAAGGTTCGACAACCTCTGTTGTTTATCATCATCAAATATACTTCAAATCATACCTGAACTCTTTGAACAGAATATCACTTGCCTGCTATAGAACATCGGCATTGGAAGTATCTTCTTTTCAACAGCTCAATATTGTCGGTATTATGTAACGGAATATAACGAGACTAAGTAAATCTCGGTGTAGTAATGACATGCAATAATACTTCAATACCATCAACAGGTCACCAGATGTTCAGAAAAATTCAGTCTTAATAAGCTAATCTCGGCAACACTGGTAAAATACAACGGTGTAGAAAATAAAAGCGACATAACCAGAAAGTGTATGAATCCATACATGTGGCGCATCAATATACTGTTGGGAATGATATTTACGCCTTTTTACTCGATCTAAGTCAGCCCAACATCATAACTATAGGTCCTCAGTGAATTTGCGTGGAATGTAGCTCAAAAGACACGAGGAATTCTTTGTTAAGATACAAACTAATCATAAAATGACCATAGAATTACAGTTGTATACTGATACGACAAAATATACATAAGTAACAGTTGATTAAATATCCAAAGGCCTGTTCCCATCATCAAGATTTTGGGAAGTGTTATGGTCGTCATTGAGAAACATAGTATTTCTTTGTGTGAAGGCGGACGTGTTTGATGCTCGTTAGTTTGCCTTTTAATTGCCTTGTTGTATACATTGTTGTCATATGAGAACGTGACATTACTTACTGGATTTACCAAAATTTACATAGTGGATGTTGAAGATTTAGCAGAAAACGCTTACTCTCCCGAAACAACTGGTCTTACTCCCATTGCTTTTTTTCATTAGTTTCCATTTAAATCTTACTTTAGTTCATATTTTGGCCTGGTTTTATTGAATTTGAGTTTGGAGGATTATGATTATGTTGACATGTTCTTGTTTCCTTCTTCACATGTAGAAAAGCTTACTCCATTCAACATTTTCATCTCGTTTCAGTGGATGTGTGTGGATATTACAATGAAACGCACAAGTGTCAGAACAATGGAACCTGTGAGCTCCAGAACACTAACGATTCCATTTGTGTGTAAGTTACATTTACATATATTTGCTTATTTGTTGAGTGTTGTGTGTTGTGAAATGATCACTTAGCTAAGCAATAGTACAAGGAGCGAATATAAGGCTTACAGTAAATGATAACAATACATCACTAAGAAAAATAAGGACATAGAAAGTTGATATGGTTTGTATAATAGACACATAAGTGAATGACACCTTTGAAGACACTAACTCCATAATTAAATCAAATTTATAATTTTAATCAGATCATTTTAGAACAACTTCAGGTACTAGTTTACAATCTGAACTGTGCCATGAATTAAAGCATGGCATGCAGATTACGTCCCTTTGATGAATAAGCAAATATACTTGATATGAAATTGTCTTCAATAGGTGTAGTCCCGGTTATCACGGTGACCTGTGCGAGTTTTCCACAGTACCGAGAGCCCAAGATGGTGACTGGGTCGTGGAGATTCTCCTTCCAACTGCTGCAGCCGTGGCAATCGCGGTTGCTACATTTTGCTGCATATTGACAGTGGTACGCAGGCGCAAGAAAAGAAGTCTAGATGAAGAATCAGATCAGGATAGGTAAGTCATTATCTGAAGGTCAACAGGCTCGAAAACTCCTATTTCGTGATCGGTAAATTTCCTGACGATTGGTATCCCTAATTTATGTCAGAAAGCATTTCAATACTAGCAAAATGACATTGTATCGATTACAAGGTCGCGAAACACAGACAGAAGCCAGCAAACAATATATGAAATAAACCATTACATTATTAATTACATCTTGTGGAAATCTTTTTTCAGTTACGGAATTCGAGGATCTTACGCAGTGCCTTCCTCAATATTCCTACCTCGGTTTAACAACAATTGGCGCCAATTTTACGGCTCTCCTAGTACATGGAACGACACGGCACCAACGGTTCAAAGGGAGCCTCCTCTACAATTCCCTATCACTTACCCTTATGACAACGAGACGAACTCAAGTGCACCAGCAAATTCTTTCGACGATCAAAGTAAGCATTTTCAAGATGGTTAAAGCTATAAATTGATTCAAAACATTACAACGTAAGGATAGGTATGGGTGAAAGTGACCTCGGACAGGACTGTCGGCGTTACTTAATGCTGTTTCTTTATTTATCTAGAGTTATTTGTATACCGACAGGTGAGTGTGTTTTACAGTAACAAATCTAAGTGTCTTGTTAAATACTCGTTTGCCTGACTTTTTTTATTAGAATTAGTATCAAGACAGCATGCGTGTATATAACAATGGGAGATATGGTATGTGTTTGTTTACTATAAGATCAGGGTAGACTAATGGGAATGTCCGTGAGCCAATGTCTTGTGTTGTTGTTAATGTTCTCTGGTCGTGGGATTAACTGTATGTGGTCGTGTGATTAACAAACGCAAAATGATAGTAATAAAAAATGTACTCAGCTTTTATGAATTTACTAACAATAATAACAACATAGTTTGTTTTGTTTGAAATTTATAAAAAAGGAATTTCGTTTTATCGATGAGTGATTTTTTTTTAATCTGTGATTCTTGACGAATACTACTACTCAACAACACAAATTTGTTCATGTCTTCGAACACTCCATAAGCGAGGGTTTTTTTCTTCCTTTGAAAATTGAAGTTTGATAGTACATTAATGAATAAATCATAATATAATTTAATTGTTTTAAATAGTATACACAGTTTTTAAAATAGTAAAGTTGAGTAAGCACCACCTGAATAATATGCTGATTATTATAAACGATGTACATTTTCAGGTTTAGATACAACTCCTGAATGGTGTAACAATATATTACTACAGGAAGAGGAGGTGGGTACAAACACGAAAATCATCTCTACATGTTTAGTTTAGCTATCCAAGCTGATATCGATTTTGTTGATTTTTTACCTGAATTCCGACACATCGAGCATGTATGTATTTATCGTCCTCCCTATAAGCATTTTGTTTTCTCAGTGATCACAACTGTTGTCGGTTTAACTTCAGTGTCATTCATACTTTAGTTTTACTGATTTTTTACAGAGATTTTAGCCCTCAAGGGAAATTGTGAAGGGTATTTTTGTTGGTTTGTTTATATTGCTAAGCGAATCCGTTTGTGGACGTACAATAAGATTGTGTACGATATTCTTCTGGAAACTAAATAAAGATTAAGCACTGGTTTGTAGATATGCCTCTCTATGTACATTAAAATATTCAAGTCATTTTTTTCAAACGTAATTAATTTGGACACAAGCTGTGTCTTCATCCATTACATTGTCGCTTGTGTGTCTGATCATGGATATAGATAATAGCCTCTTCAGGAGGAAATTTTGTAATGGTTCCCATTTTTTCAACTAGCGTCAATTGATGTATTTCAGTTCAACATTGGGAGACCGATCTACAAAACGGAAAGAATTTACCCACATGTAAGTAAAGAATTTACCCACATGTAAGAAAAGAATTTACCCACATGTAAGTAAAAAATTTACCCACGTGTAAGTAAAGAAGTTACCCACGTGTAAGTAAAGAATTTACCCACGTGTAAGTAAAGAAGTTACCCACGTGTAAGTAAAGAATTTACCCACGTGTAAGTAAAAGTGATGTGTGTGTAAGGAAGTAATCTAAAATTGGATGGATTAGAGAGGGCGGTAGGAAATATCGTGCTCATGTTCATTAAATTTGACAAAGTGAACCACTGAAGGCGAACGTATAAGTTATTAGATAAAAAGAGTAAATAATTTCTTTGATTGTAATAACATAGCTTTCAATGGTAATGACATCCATTATTTGAATTCCAGCTCGATGACAGCTACTGAGACGTATGAACAGAAGTGATCAACATGATCAATGGACTCATGGATCCGCGGATATCTCCGGAAGTCTAGGGAGATAAGATATCTCCGGAAGTCTAGGAAGATATTCCTAGATGTCTTGGATGATAAGATTTTCCCGGAAGTTGCTGGTAATAAGATATTCCCGGAAATCCTTCGTGATAAGATATTCCCAGAAGTCTTTGGTGATAAGATTTTCCTGGAAGTCTCTAGAGATAAGATTTTCCTGGAAGTCTCTAGAGATAAGATGTTCCTGGAAGTCTCTGGTGATAAGATATTCCTGGAAGTCTCAGTGATCTCAATGAAATGCCTGGAAATCTTTGAAGATAAAACCGTAAATACCTGCCAATAATAAACCACACGAATCTATTTACGGAGAATACTGTGACATTTCTGGAAATATCTGAAGATAATCGATAGAATTACGCGTGAGAATATCTAAACTGAATTGATCAGCAAAGACATATGCTGCAATTATACGTTTGAATAGTCATGAAAACCAGTTTGTCATCATCGCTGAAGTGCCAGTTATGAAATTCCTCTGACAATTACCTGATGGAATGATTTACAAAAGTGCTTATGTGAGGACATAATATTATGATACTGTGTAGGTTGTAATATTCGTGGGGTTCTATTTTCTAGCATAAACGAAGATGAAATAAACCACATTGAAAACATACATTCAGCTGAATTTAGTATCGAAGTCTGCTGTATCTAAGTGGAAATTTGAATTGAAAGGTACTATTCCCTTGGGTGTCTTTTGTATAGTTTCTGATAGATGACATAAAGTAACCTTTCATGACTTCTGACAAAAGCTTTGGTAAACTTTGAAAATTTGAACCATCGAATAGAATAACCTTAACAGTATATGAATACTTTTCATTTTCGTTATCATGCACGTTGAGAAATAGTAATACTTCCCATTATTCATTCTTATCCTTGTCCCGTCTATCAATACCATACAGGAATATTCCATAGTGGTATGCCTAGTGCTTTCAGAGATAGATAGGAGAATAAAATTAATTTTTGTTCTTTACATATCGTTGATAATTATGAAGTAAAACCTGTGTTTATATCAATACATATATGTTTATAATATCTAATATGTTTTGTAAATAATATAATATATATAGAGAGATAAAAAGCTGTAGATTTTATAATAAATAACATACCACATACAAAATAGTGGTATGAATATGCATTAATTGTGCCAAATAATTTTAATTGTTGGAAAAATAGCGATAATTGAGTCCTTTTTAAAAATCATTATTTACAATAGAATCATACATCGCTTGTATTTTTGTTACCACATAGCTGGTTAAATTAAATCATGTATTCATTTTAATCATCTTTGTTATAGACATATTCTCGAACTTTGTTATACTGTATGTTATATATTGTACAATGATTTGCACAACTTTGCTTATTATTTGTTTTCATTCTACATAGGTCTGTAAGACAGGTAACAAAATAACATTTATTATTATTAATAATTTTATAGAAATTTTGTTACCTTGGTAATTAGAATTATCAAAAGTTAAACCAATTACTGTATATGTAGTTACACTAAGCTTTTAGGCATTTTTCTGTTTAAAACGTCAATCAAAGAACATGTTATTGAAAAACAATATATGACCAATTTTTGCTCATTAACATTGTAACGTAATGAAATAGTACAGATATGATGAAATATTTTATACAGATATTTGAACCAATCTTTTGTTGTAAATGTGTGGGGCCGTAAAACATGTCTTGCTTCGGTACATATACATTTGCAATATTGTCTTGCATACCGACGAGACAGGTATGCTATCTACCTGTCGGAACTTAATGTGTGTGTAATATCTAACAAAGTTTTACAGGGGAATTGTTTAGTAGAAAGTGTGAACTGCAGAATAATACAAAAGATGCCAATCTGTAAATGTGATATGTTAATTAGCTCCTTTGCTTAGTCTGCAATGTTACCCTGAATAAGATATCTAACATTTCTAAATTACTATAAAGCTGTAACATATCGATAAATAAAGTATATTTTCATATTGCGACAACGCTATTTTATCTTCTGTATACAGTAAAACTTGCTTGTGTCGAACAGGCTTAAACTGAAGACATCGGATGAGTCAAATGTGTTGTTCGGCCCTGATTTTTTCTCTTCTTTATCTTAATTAATTAAATACGGATGATTCTAACAATGTTGAGTTGGATACTGCGTTTTGTGTCCACTACTTCTAAATTCTACCAAAAATGTTAATTTTTGTGTGGAACATTGAGGCGTCACCTTGTCTCAGGTAGAAATTCCCTGGCTTCGGTCCGAATGACTGAGTGTGATCAGTCAGCCGTATCGGTGTTAATGAGCCCAACGAGGAGCAGTGATAAACTATGTAATGAGCAACAGTGCGAATATATCTCGTAAGACGATGTAGCCTATGAAATGAAGTACACAACAAAATCTTAGATGTTACCAGTTTATTTCCATTACTTATATGATTACTTCTTTCATTCCATAGTCAGACTCCGTGGTAATCAGCACGACAGTTCGTTCAGGTTACCAATACTGACGGTCTTGGTGCCTACCATCTGTCCGTGCTCGTCTAAACAGTGGCAGACAGATCCAAGACACTAATGTTTCTGGTAGTTACCGTTGGGTGTGCAGTAGAAAAAGCGACCAATCAGACCTGTGTCCATGTACTCTTTCTGGTCACGTGCACATTCTGTAGGCAAAGTTCGATAATTAGATATCAAATATATATAAAAAAAATGTTCATCATTCCCACAAAATTCAGCTCATGGGCACAAGTGGAACACAAGTGTGTTTTTTTCGGCCATATTGGATTTCGGACAGATAAGAAAGGACAACATATGGTCAGGACTATCTCAGAATTAGTTGATGCAAGTTTCAGCTAAATCCCAGTATTGGGACTTAAGAAGAAAATATATATTGTTAAAGGAAACCTTGATTGCACAAGATAACACTTTGTGGACTCTAATTCTCTAACTTCCCTTCAAATTTTCAGTTCAATTGCACTGGCCATACTCGATTTCGGACCGACAAGCTAGATAACATAATGGTAAGGACTATATCCATCCCATTGATCGCAGTTTACGCATGGCGGACGGCACACAACGACGAACGATACATGACGACTGTAGGTCATCTTTTGGGTCAAATGACCTAAAAATAGGTTTACCGATGTACTTTTAGAACACTGATATAATATACTTTGTGGCATTTCGCATGTTTATAAATTGGAAATGAAACATTGATCCCTCGTATGCGATGTGATTTGTGGCTAAAAGCAAACTTTTAACTTAAACATTTTCCTCGGGTTTTGTTCATCCTTAAAGTCAGAATCAAAACTTATTTAAAATTACTTACGGCAGTTCATGTCGCCAGCACGCCACACATCATCACGGTAGTTGAGGATGTTTTCGCCAGTCTTTGACACACATGTACACCTATGGAGGAATTTTAAACAAGAGTATATAGCCCTGCCTGTTTCCTGTCGCAGTGACAATACATTCATGTATCTCAAGAAAGACATTCATTTATCTAATTATATTATCGTGTAAAATAACGCCCCTACAAAGTGATTTAAAACCAATAAGAATCAACAAGAATCCCATTAATGACTTACACGGATCCCTCACACTGTTTCGGCTGATAAAAACCATTCTCGTCGCAAAGAGGCTCTACAGCGCCGAGGAGTCCAAATCCACCATTGCTCTGCTGGTTGGTTAGATAATGTTGGTGAGCGGTAGCACACGGACCTGTTTCTGTGGCAAAATGGCAAGTCGGTACATTAATTAAAAATAAGTCAATTTCACGTCTTTTTTTTCAAGGTAACAAAATGAACATTCTTCCATTTGAGTTTTCCACCCTGTACACCACCATACCCCATTCTAAACTGAAGGACCACCTTCGTTCTCTTGTTACGAGAGCTTCATTTTCCAAGAAATGCTAACGGCGGTATAGATATATGGTTGTGAAAAGCATTTCTTGGAAAATACGCCCAAATCAAAAAGAAATATATGGAGGCTGAAATCATAAAATGATCGAGTTTGTGGTTGACAATATTTTCGTCGAGTTTGGTGGTTAGATCTTCCAGTAGACTACTAGCATATCTATGGGAGCTAATTGTGTCCCTCTGTTGGCTGACTTGTTTTTGTTTTCATAGGAGGAGGTTTATCGAATAGCGTATCAAAACTGGTCACATAGACCTGGCAAAGTTGTTTGATTTCACTTTCAGATATTTTGATGACGTCTTGTGTTTAAATAATAAGACATTTACTGCGTCCATCTTATATACACAACAGAACTGGAAATGAAAGACACAAATTACTTTTTTTAAACAGCCACTTGTCTCGAACTTTTACTAAAACCAAACCATCACGGACAACTGTCCACCAAGCTCTATGTTAAGCGTGATGATTTCCCCATTACAAAATTTCCATCCCTTGATAGCAACTCTCATGCTTCCCTACCTATGGTGTTTACGTGTCGCAGTTGATTCAATATTCAAGTACCTGTTCCAATTAACACGATTTTAAGCAAGAAGTCGTCAACTGACAGACAAACTTGTAACACAGCGTGCCAAAAGATCCAGGTTGATGAAAATATTGGGAAAGTGTTATAGTCGTCAGTGATAATCATACTTTTCCTTTGTGTAATATGACGCTGGACGTATTTGATGCTTGTTTGTTTGCCTGGCTGTTCTGGTGTTGTATACATTGTTCTCATCTGGGAACATGACATTACTTACTTTGATTGACCAAGGTGGGTGTCGTCGTTGATGCGGAAACGCTTACTATTTCGCAACATCTGGTCTTATTCTCCTCGTAATCTTTCACGAGTTTCCGTGTTAATCATTCTTTTGTTCGTATTTTGCCCTAACTTTATTGACACTGAGTTAGGGATGTTGGTATTTTCTTGTTGTTTATTGAAATGTCAGAGGAAGCAAAACTAAATACGTGTTTTTATACTTTAAAAATATTCCTTTAGTCCTCTTTCATAGATTTGTGTATACGATTTAGATGTACTATGACCCTATGCACGTACTGTGACTACTAGTAGAACATATTACTTGTGAGGGTGAGAACGCCACCATCTTACTGCTCCCACGTTTGTCGCATTAGTAGCTAATTGTAGGAGTATATAATGAACACAGACTTACGAGTCTCCCGAGCTGTCGCAACATGGGCATCTGAAGTAAAATACAACATAGATATAATTAGCAAACATGTAGTGTATTACATTATTTGAAATAATGGTAGGAGCCCGACTATTGGTTAAACAAACAGTAACCCACAATAAGGGTGGGAGTCATTACCACTGTTTGAGTTTGAGAAGAATTGGAGGACATGGTCTACATTAATGATTCACCTGTTCACATCAGCACAATTTATCTTTATCCTGCTTCAACAAATTCAGTTTATCCTGCGCTCCCTATTCAGTTTTTTCTAGTTATAGCCATGTAAATCACTTAAAACAAACATAGATGTTTTACGGCAATTGTTAAAATTTAAACTACTGAAGTCGTAAAACGGCAATGTAGAAAAAATTATATAAAAATATAAGGGGTTAGTAAGATGTCCCTTAATTCTTATCGTAGGCTTACAAAAATGAAATTATATCAGACAAAAACCCGAATGCATAACGTTTCCCAGAGAGTCCATCTTTCATAAGTCATAAGTGTATATGTTTATCTATAAATAATGGCTACCTAAGTGTTTGAGCGAACATTTGTAAATAACTGACCGGAAGTACAACGCATGGTACGGCTGTCGCAGTGAAGGCCCTGGCCACACTTGGATGGACTGGGAACGCCCAGCAGGAACCCGGCGCCACAGTACGCACCCTCGACTGGAAACAGATTCAATATATTTGTGCTTATTTTAAATAACAATTATGTGTGTGATAGATATACAAGCTGGGCGGGAGCCCTTTGTGTCAATGTAAGATATTACCGCAAAAGTCAGGAAATCGTCTGAAAGTTTAAATTTAAGTTTACTTTACACGTTACACTACAAAGAATTGTAGAAGAAAAATAACCCGCTCGCCCGCTCGCAATCCACGTGTATTATGGACAGGGTCTGCTGAAACCCATCACCCCCTCAACACCCCCCCCCCCAAAAAAAAAAAAAAAAAAAAAAAAAAAAAAAAAAAAAAAAAAAAAAAAAAAAAAAAAAAAAAAAAAAAAAAAAAGAAAAAAAAAAAAAAAAAAAAAAAAAAAAAAAAAAAAAAAAAAAAAAAAAAAAAAAAAAAAAAAAAAAAAAAAAAAAAAAAAAAACAAAAAAAAAAAAAAAAACAAAAAAAATCTTACCACACGGTAAGACGTTCGTGGACGTTCCCGAACTACTAAAACTTCTCAGTGAAGGACATTCTCCTCGACTTCTTGAACGCTTTCCAGAAGAAAAGTGTTAATTAGGGAATTTCTTAATGGTTACAAATATTCATGAAACATAGATAATAGGATTGAGACTTCTCGAAGTGCGCAGAGATGATATATGACATTTATTAGTCGGCCGAAAATAAATTCCAAAGCTGTCAACATTTAAAAAAACCTTATCGCACTCCAAACCGCTCCTGTGGATATCCTTCTGGTTGTGAACTTTTTCCTCCTTATCTATGGACAATTTAATGATCATGTAAGATCGCCAGCCGCCGACGGACTAGAATTGTGCATGTGCGTCCTACATGTTGACAACAACCTTTGTTTCTATAAGTTTACTTGCCAGAGGAATAAAATTATTACCATCTTATTATGATATAAGCGATTGATATATAAAAGGCGATTCAATCTAACTTCCGGTCTGTAATTAAAGCTTTCTGCATGTAGCAAAAGTATAAAATTCAGAATGTGTCACGGTTTCTTCATATCGAATTCTCCAGAGAAGGTGTGGTCAACATCGATGTCAAAACACAACGATGACACACTGTTAACAGATACGAAATCTCGATCATTCGGATATGTTACCAGGTCAATCCCAACAGCCCAATCTCACAGACAGTGAATGCTAAAATACGGCCCTCTACTTAGTAAGCAAAATACTCCTGTTGGCATGTGAGTGTCTCGCAATTTGAACATGTTTGTGTTCGTAAGTGATAACGTGGACAATCGTAATACCGCTTCCCTGCTAAAAAATGACAAAACAAGATTGAATTTTAGCGCTGCTGCTGTTCTGAAATCTCCCCAAACAACCTAATATACTTTCACGCACATTTCAATAAAACGGTAATATAGACCGTCTTAGCAAATCTGCACTTTTATCAAACCTGGAACACAAATTGATGTATATATGGACAAAATCAAGTGTGAGACGAATAAACCTATTTATCAGTTAAGTCTTTCAATCATAGAATTGTATGATGACTGTCTTCAGCTGAAAGCTATTTTCTTCATGAAAATTAGACTATCGAGAGTTCTATGACATTTAATTTCAAATCTCTTAAATGGTGAAATAAATTTTAAAATGGAAACCGTATCCATCATCCTCGACACTCCAGGGGTTAGATAACTTTCACTCTCTGCATCCGTGGAACATGTCATGGCAAAATTGAAGGTACAAGTGAAGTAATTTGATTGGTTCTAGAACAAAAAGAATGACCAATCACAGGTTGATATGCTATTTTTGAAGATTACAAAGAAGCGACATCCAACTTCAAAGTCATTGCAATATACCGTTATGCGATTTCGAGATCCAATTGATGTTCATCAAAGGATCAAACTAGTCTTTTCTTCTTGTCCACAAGGTGTCGCGCATGGACACTTCAATATCGCAGTGAAATGTTCCAGGAGTGCGGGGAGTGAAAGTGATCGTAACCTCTAGAGTATCGAGGATGTAGTGATTGTAACCCATTGAGTATCGAGTATGTAGTGAGTGTAACCCCTGGAGTATCGAGTGTGTAGTGATTGTAACCCCTTGAGTATCGAGTATGTAGTGAGTGTAACCCCTGTAGTATCGAGGATGTAGTGATCATAACCCATTGAGTACCGAGGATGTAGTGATTGTAACCCCTGGAGTATCGAGTATGTAGTGAGTGTAACCCTTGGAGTATCGAGGAAGTAGTGATCATAACCCATTGAGTATCGAGGATGTAGTGATCGTAACCCATTGAATATCGAGGACGTACCCACAGTTACCATTTAAGGTTCTAAGGATCATAAATATCATCGAGAGGGCACATTCTTTATGATTTAACAACCTGATACATGTTGAGACGTGTCAGACTGATATATTTCAAGTATTAGTTTTTGCCTTCAATGTTTTTCCACCGACAACAACTTAATTATTTATCAACTTTTAAGCAACTGGGGCCAGTTGTCTTTAATAATATGTTTCCAAAGATAATTCACATATATGTCATTTTTACTTACTTAGAAGTTCTTCACACGAATCACAACAGCCACAGAATCCTCCGTTTTGTACGATGTTCCCGCCACAGTTGGCTTCGGTAACTGCTGCACATCTTACCGAGTCACAAACATTTGGCAGGCACTGAATTGCCTCACTCACTACCACGGACAAAGAAAAACATACTAAAAACTTAAACATTTTCTCTTAATGACTTGGTTCCCGAAAAGAAGAACTCGACTGAAATTTCAAGGCTTCTCCTGCTTAAAAACAATTCCTTCCTTATCAGATAATCACATGACCATTGCGCGTGTGAAATGACACCTGGTTTCAAGGACAGATTAGAAGGAGTGATCTTAGCAAAACAAAATTACATTATGAATGCATGTCTGAATAAAGTCAATTTCCACTTAACAAGATCTCACAAAGGTTCGGGAATATACACTGTTACTGTCTAAAACAAGGAGAGTGTTACAGTATTGTGCATAAGTGACGTCATCAATATCGTGAAGTCGTTAACTCCCACCGTAGCACACTCCTAGCAATGATTGTACAAAAGCTATTTATTCTATATTTTAACGATTGATTTATACCGTAATGGTATTCGTCATGGATTTCCGTACTTCAGGTCCTCAGAACCCTGCTAAGTCCTATAAGGAAGAAACAGCTGTATGAAACTGTTCCATTCATTTTTCGCTATTTGATATATAATTTGATTCAAGTTTCAGTGTACTTTTGTATGTGTACATACATTCATTGTGTTATCTGATAAAGACATTGACTTTTTGAACTTGTGTCTGGTCAAACCCTATGAGCTATTTTAGTCTAGCGCCAGGAATATTGTTGATTTGACAATATCATTGATTCATTTTCCTGGAAAAGGACAGTTTGAAACTATAAATGGGATAAAGTGTGAAATGATTTACATCCTAGAAGGAGCATTAAACACCAGGGCTTCTGTAACTAGCCGAAACACGTCAACGAATAAAAGTTTTGGAATCCCTGGTGTTGATGCTCCATCCTATATATTTGCCATTTAGATATTGTTTTATGATAAAGGTTTCAGAGTTAAGGCGAAATCATAGGGTCAACGTTTCATTTGTCATAATAACTGATTCAACTATATATCAATATGTATTAAAGAAATGTATCATTAGATCTGAAAATCATTTCCTTTGTGTTAAATTGAAAAACAACACACGACCACCATATCTGTTCTCTATTTTTTATGAAAAGCTAAGCGTGGATTCGAATTTTGGGTGATTTTGTTAACTTCCAGTGGATAATGTAGCACTGAGTCATAACAAACAAGCGGCTCATAGGGCCTGTATCGCTCAACTGGCTTAATTTGCTTAGATTGATTTATTTTAACTGAGGGTAATGTGTCTATAACACTTGTACTTATTTCCCCGTAATAAGCTTGACATTCCTCCAAAAGGGGACTAGATACAGCTGTTTGTAAATAACTAAGTTCTCTTAACCAAGAATGTCTTCAGTTCTAATATAATGAAGATTTTAAAGAAATTGCTCTATTTTCGCTATTTGACCCCGCCGGCCTGGTCCCAATAGGGTCCCAAATTGGGACAGAATCCAGACATTCATACATAAGAAGAATGATCTTGAAGAAACATGTCCGACAAGGAGTCATTGGCTGATTCCTTCAGGATATTCAACGTCAACGGAACACTAAGGCTGCCACTGAAATGAGTTCGGGAGAACATCGAAACGACACTGTTAGATTCTAACGATTGTTTTAGCACCAATCACCACAGGGACACAAAGTGAATCACACCATCTTCCAAGAACTGTCAATATTCGCCGAAGAAACTTGGAAAGATGATAAAATGGACAATATCCGACGGGTGTTGACAATAAAAGATGTTCAAAAAGAACAGAAACGTGTCAGACAGGCGAGAGATATAAAGAATTTGAAGAGAAGAACCAAAGTAGATTAACCAAGCAAAACGCAGCCTTGTTCAACATGCCTTTTGAAGGTAAGAATATAGACATTTTTAAGTATAAGCCTGTTCTTGCTTCTATTATAGGTAAATCGTCATTAAATACCCATAATGCAACACGTATTCATCTACTGGAAACAGATTGATGACAATGTCGAGATAATTGACACATTGTGTAATATTGTGCGTTTGTAAAGCAAACACTCAATTAAAATGAAACGACCATTGCAGTTTAAAGTTAAAAATTACCAGATCCATTTAAATACTGCACAAAGCAATTATATCCAGAGAATCACTGCACATTAACGTACAGCACACTCTGCTCACGCCTGATTTCTTTTATCTTGCTTTAGATTGGCAAGGCTAGTCTTTAATGAATCCTTGATTTTCAACCAGTAGGCAATGAAAACATGGCAATACTACTAGCACAATTTTGCTGCCAGACCAAACCTAAACGAACTGACCAGAGACCTGTGGTATTATCATCTGTTGTTGATAAAGTTATAAAGAAATGTCGCAGTATCATCATCTGTCGATGACGTTATAAAGAAATGTCGTAGTATCATCATCTGTCGATGACGTTATAAAGAAATGTCGTAGTATCATCATCTGTCGATGACGTTATAAAGAAATGTTGTAGTATCTTCATCTGTCGATGACGTTATAAAGAAATGTCGCAGTATCATCATATGTCGATGACGTTATAAAGAAATGGGAGAACAGTTAGGGTAGATATAGAGATATGGTATACAGAAATGTATAAGGAGGGGAAATGTGGAGGTTTCCGTCATTTTCAGTTTTGAAATCACAATTGTAAGTACGGATTTTAAAAATTATTTCAATGACTTCTGTTTTTTTTAAGTGAGTGAGTGGACCTTTCCCGACCCATCTCGCACTTTCGGATTTCCACTGTTTACATTTCAATTCTTGGTTTACTTTCTCATAAGTCTTTCTTACTCTCTGGTATTTTTGTTACTCGAGTGCCGTTTGGGAAAGATCACAGACCCATCCTTTATTCAATAAAAGTATGTTGGATCAAAACCGTGAAGGTGTTTGTACTTCCTTAAAGGAAAATATTCTCGTTTTTTACGTTGAATTATGTTTAAGTGAGATATATGGCTAGTAAACTACTCAGTGCAAATGTAAGCTTAAACCAGAGACGTTATATATGTGATATATACGTCTCTGCTTAAACTTTTGTATAGTTTGTGCGTCTGTGGAGTTTCTCTACTCGACACTTATATATGTAACACATGATATACGGATAATCAGAAAATAGTGATTACGCTTACCATTAATATGCATTGATAAGTGTTACGAGCCTAGGTACAGAATCTCACAGACGTTTACCAAAAGCTCGCAATGGTACAGTTGGCTCTAATGTGTCTGAGGTAAGTAATTCTGATTGGAGGTTCATAATGTGGTAGCTCTGTTCTGATTGGATACTCCTGATTTGATACTCTTTACGTAATAATGATTGGAAGTTCATAATATGTTAAGCCATATCAAATTTAGTGCCGAACAGAGCACTCTAACGTTTAATAAATCTTTTAACTAACGAGGAAAAGAATTAAGTCACTGTCAAATATTTTATCATTTATTGACTATTTTTTACTAGAAATTTCATCACAATGTTTCGATTTTGCTGTGAATTAAAAAATGAAATTAGCATTTTATATTTCACACTTTTACATTGAAAATATTCTATGAATCCGAGCAAAATATTATGTTTTGAATAACTGCCTTTCACTGTTTTTGTCGCCTCCGTCCTGATACAATCTATATTGAGTTCCAACTTGATCAACTCATTTTTGCAAGATTTTGTCCCCTTTTACTGATTAACACTTTGGGGACAATGACACTCATCCTCTTTTTCATGTTACTCCTGTTATGATTTTGTTGATACAATTATTTTTTCTGACGATTCAATGTAAGATGAAAAGTGGCCACGAGATAGTTGACAGTCCGGTCCGCCTCCGCGTTTATTACTATAGTAATTTATTTATACCGGAAGTGTGAATTATACATAGCTTCCGTTTTTGCTGTTTTGACAGGAACTTTCGAAGCCAGACCGATAAAGCTGATCAAGGCATATAGACGAGACACACAAGAAGGTGACTATATTTGAAATTATTCACTTAAGCTAGTATCATTTAATTGCAAAATGGAACTGCGCAACGGCGTTACATGCAATAACAGATTAGAGTAGACGGGTGCATGATGGCATGTGCTAGCTGGTACTGTGTATCTACTAGTACGAGGGTTCTTACTATCTCGTGCGAGGGTTCTGACTATCTCGACCGAGGGTTCTGACTATCTCGTGCGAGGGTTCTGACTATCTCGTGCGGGGGTTGTGTGAGGGTTCTGACTATCTCGTGCGGGGGTTGTGTGAGGTTTCTGACTATCTCGTGCGAGGGTTCTGACTTTCTCGTTCGAGGGTTCTGACTATCTCTCTGCGATTTCATTTTTCTTGGTCGCTGATAGTCAGAATTACACGATTTGTTTTGAATGTCTGTAGCGGTATGGCCATAACAAAGCCGCTGGGTTTGATGTTTTATTTTTATTAAAAGTGAGACATTCTGAAACATAGGATAAAGCAAAATCAAACTCACACATGTATGTCATCTACTGACAATTCAGATTTCAACAAATCACACCTTTTACAAATAAGTGAAATAGCATTTCTTTACACAGTTAACTTTACAAATACAATAGTAATTATTATGGTAAAATAGAACAATTACACTGAAGATATAAAAGTTCACATACAACATGTATCATGCATTAATGTTACATATGACAGCACAGATGACACCACATAATTCTGTCACCACAATAACAATGCTACAACGAATACAATACATATTCTTACTTACAATATTCAAATACAACATAATCACAGAAGCATTACTGAGCACATATGTTACATGAAACACTGATCACAATATACTGTTCAATTACACATTTAAAATAATTTATTAATATTTCACTCAAACAATTACTCATTCAAACAGAAGAGATAAACAAGGGAAACAAATAGAAATAGAAAAAGGATTAATTCCATAGCTCACCACAAATTACATACAGCACACATAAATATGTACAAAGCACAAACAAAGAAATGTACTCACACTATACCCGGTATACACTGACAGGCAAATCATTTTTATGGATACTATACAGGTAATCATAAAACAGCCAATTCAGCATATTGTACTAAACGACAAATAAATATATTTTAAATCCAACAGAATTTGACAATCAACATAATAACTTAATAATTTTGACCCTGTTACATGTCATTGTTAAATTGCAACAATAAAATTTAACCAACTCACCGGAAATGGTGTCTGACGATAAAAAAATTGTTTTACCAACTTGCTAGATTCGTCCCTTTTGTCAATGTGCACACCATGAACATGACCAGGTATGACTCTGTTTACATTTGCCATATGTATGTATATATAGTTAGTTTTGACTATATAGCCATTTCTACCAAATTTGCCAGTGTTCCAGTGCCTGATATATCAAGACCTTGTTGTTTTATATCTATCATATATTTTTGGTAGGGTGGAGCTTTTCTTCAGCATATGCTTCCTGTTGATTAGCAGCTATTAACCAATAGCTGTCTGTTTGTTTATAAGGCAGTATCACATGTGTAGGCCATTTATCAGTTTGTTGTACCTAATGAGACAGGAAACAGAAGTGGGTACCCAAAGTTTGGTTTATGGTGTAATTTGTTTGCTATTTGACCAATCGTAGAGTAGCACTCATTAAAGGAGGTTTTAGCAGGATTCAATGTTTGCTCCACTACTGGAAGGCTGTAATAGTGGATGTAAAACCCATTGAATAAAAATGTAAATAGATGGTTTTCATTGTCTTGACAGGATCATTGAGTCAATCTGCTTCTCCTGGGGAGAAAACTGCAGTAGAAGTGTTGCTGACCATACCCATTAGGGCTATGTCAGCTCATAAATGTAATATTAAGGTTATCATACATAAGATGTGTATTACCAGGGGATAGTCAGAGGCTGAGGGCTTAGACATCCATAGGAAATCTGTATACAATGGTTAGCTGTAGACCTATAGGGACCAAGGAGCATGTAGTCTGCTGGTACTAATGTTAGGATGCACAGTGCTGTTACACATAACACTAAAGGCAGGGCTTAGCTATGTTTATATTGGGATACTGTACTCTATTAGTTGGGCTACTTAGTATTAGTTAACAATAGTTGGCACTAATGTTATGATCTTACATTGTTATATCTGTATATATTCATTATGTTCAGTTAATAAATAGTTGTTTGAAAGTGGAACACTTCATTATTGATCATACCCATCAACTGCAGCCAAAGCCTTTTGTAAGACTGTCTGTCTAGCATTTGTATCACATAGTCTCATGATGAGCGCACATTAACAGAGAAAAAAAACATTGCATTATGATATGAGTCACTGACAAAAAATGTTCCAGGTAAATTTATGGTGTTCCAAAATGGCAGTTAATGACAAATAGAAATGATCAGGTATGGTTTACACACTGTTCAAGTTACAAAAAATTACCATTAAGTAATGAATCTTGCTTTTGTAGATATCATGGGGTGATGATGTGGCTTGTTGAATTTGTCTCAAGACAAGTTCAAGAAAAAAAACCAATTAATTGTAATAATTGATTTTGTCAATATGCATTAGATATCATGAAAATTCTCTGACAGGAAAGTATAGTGTTTGTACTGAGTTCTACTGTAGTATCCCTCTTTGCTTTAGGTGAGTGGCATCCATTTTGAAATTGTCATGGAGTGTGTTGTATGATCTTCCTCAGTAGCCTAGGTATCAATGGCATCTAGAACAGTGCTGTATTAAAATAAGCTCAGTGGATGCTCTTTGTTCTGTTTGAGATTCAGTGACACTATTGAAAGCAATTAATGTTTAAATATATAAGTTTTCAATTTCTTCTAAAGATGGACTCGGTGAAACTGTCAAATTCATTCTCTTTATTTGTTCATGAATTCGACTCAAATTTGAATTTGATTAAAATTGATCTGGACATATGAATACATCCTTTACAAATCCTGTAATGGGGAAGAACCCCAACACATGTTTGATGCTAAACTCCAAAAGTACCAAATTTGAAAAAAGGCATGTCACCAGTGCAATGCATGTGACCTTTGGATAAGACTGTTTGTCTGGAGAAAGGTCCTGAGAGTCCTATTCAATAGCAATGTAAAAAGGCAATGCCTCAGAAAGAGCATATTATTTGCTAACCATTAATTTTTTGTACAAAACGTATATCAGTGATCTTTAGGGCTCAAAATATTGGAGTCCTGGACTCATGCTTTTCCTTTGGGACTTGCTTAGATTTTGAGAACCCATTATATTGCTTTGTTACTGGACTCTTTAAACTCTGGACTCACTAGAAAGAACACTTTCTAAAATTACTGTTTATTATTGTTGTGAAACAGTCCTGTGTTCCTGACAGTGTTTATGTACGATTTTTATCTGAGGCTCTCAAATACCCATCTTTTAATCCTGAGTTATCTTCAGAACCCAGACTAACATCTACAATGTAGATTTTTACCTGTTGTTGAAGATCTGTCTGAAAGTGTCATCATACAGATATGATAATTCATTTACACCACTTAAATTTCTGAGTCATCTTAGACAAAGAAACAGGTATCACTGTGATCTACTCTGTCTATTGTCTGTCCTCATTCAGCGTCTGTTATGAAAAAAATTCAAACTTGTCAGGCACCTGTTGCTATCCTTAAGACTTTCCACATTTTGTCATTATTTTTCACATCAGGAGGATCTATATAATCATTGTCTGTATTTCATTTGTCACTGTGTACTGTCCCTATAAAAAGATTTTTCACATTTTAATCTGGAGTTCCACAATTTTGATTCAACTCAAACTGGGTTGATCAGATATCAGTATGGCTGTCTTGACTGCCAACTTAAAAACATGTGTTAAATTTCTTTTCAAGAGCCATTTTTGCTATTGAAACTGAAAAATGGTGGGATGTTGAAGCTGACAATTCTGGGTTTAGAAAAATAAAATAAACTGAGCAAAGTAACATGACACTTATAACCTTCCAGTCATTATGTCTAAGTAATTGCAGTTTCAGCCTCGCTAAGTATAAAAGGCATGCAACTTGTCAACCAGGTTATCATTCAATTATTGTTTGTTCAAAGTGTAACACTTCTGTACCAACACCATGTGAACCTGATAGACGGTAAGAAAAGGTCAACATATTTACCTCAGGACAATAACATAGTGTAAAGATTGTCTTCAAATAAGGTAACCAAATAGATGAATCCCATGTGAAATAACTCTATCCCACATGGTTGCACTAAGTGACTTTTGCTATCATGATGTCATGGCAACTGACTTCACCTCCGGAACAGAATGAAGTTTTACACAATCTTGTTATGAAGAGATTGTGATTTTCAGCTCACCTGGCCTGTTGTTTGTCTGTCCCTCAACATTTTCATACAAATTGCTACTATTTGTGTATGATTTTTGACAAAATTTGGTCAAAAGCATCCCTAGGGAAAGAAAGAAAGATTGTATAAGTGTTAGGTCTCAGTACCCCAGGGGCATCTCTGTTAAGGCCCGAAAGGCAGATTGAAAAATTGTACTCCTTCTGTACTAGTGATAGGATTTTGCTTAAATTTAGCTGTGTGGTGAAAGGGAAATCAATTTTGTATAAAAAGTGGGTCATGGCCCCATGGGGAATTGGGAAAATGTAAGTTCTTAAAAAACCTTCTTCTATACAAGGATATTGTCCCAGTTTGGTGTGAAGTACCAGGTTGGAGAATACAAGTCCAGAACCGTAACTCTTGTAGCATGTTTTTCTTAATCAAGGACTGTAACTCTGGCAACCTTTGATATACTAATACTGAACCAAGAAAATTTTGCAAAAGGCACATAAGTGATTTTCACCAATACAGTGGAGTCACATGATTAAACGACATCTCACACCTTTTTTTCTTCAAAGACTAATCAGTGTTTTGAAGGACCAAAACCATAGAGGCAACTGAGGAAAATTACAATTAATTGAAATAAATCTCAAGATCAAGATGGAGAGGGCCAATAGCCCTATTATTAAATAGATTT